AAGTGCAGAGGGAAGTAAGCCAGTACCTGTCTGCCTCTCCCGAATACTAGTTGGCGCCGCCATCTCGCCTCCCACCATCCACTGCTTCGCTGGCGAGCAGAGCCCGAAGATGACGTGGCATCCCTTCCGCCCCGGAAGCTGAGCCCGAGGGGGCGGAGCCAAAGGCTTTCCCCTGTCACTGACCCAAGCCCTGAGGCTCTCCAAAGGTTCCTTACACAATTTGAAGATCCTGTGGACGCTAATGCCCGAATTGCTAGTGTTTTCAATCTAATCAAGCCACACACAAATGTTAGCTACTTTACTGATCTCAGGGTAGGTGCACAGTGTGCTGCTGAGAACTACTAAACCATTACCTCGGTTTTTACAGTAAAGTGCTGACAGTCCCCATATGACTAAAGTAAACGCAACGAAGTTTTCCAGTGCAGCAGGGGTTTCTTATTTCTTCCCTGCTGGAAACACAGAAAGCTTTGGAGTAATGATGTAAACTGGCCGGTTTCTTATCTCACACAAAATGGTCGAAGTCTATGACAGTTTTTCCTGCAAGGACACAGAAGCCAGGAAGGTAAAAATGGCATTTTCCTCGTTCCTTTTAGTAGTGACAAACTCGTAATACTCGGGGGGGGGGGTGATTAGTAGTGATGGCATTTGAATATACACATGAAGCCATGTGATCTCCAGATATAGCCAATATTGACTTTTGTAATCTGTATATTTTATTGGATGTCAAAATGGATACACAAGGTAGCTGTGTTTGTGCATATGCTGTCACAACTTCCTTCATGTCTTGAATCCACTCAAGATATTTATTGTTCATTGTCATTTTCACTTTGGGGAAGAGCCAGGAGTCGCACAGTGCCAGATCCAGTGAATAAGGTAGATGAGGATACACCATGTTTTTAGTTTTTATGAGCCTGCTTACCCACTGGATGGCCGTATTTTTTTATCACACCCCAGAAGTATGCAGAAAAAGGACTTCCAGAACTGCTTCACAAAGTGGAACTAGAACTTCACAAAGGTCTGAACCAAGGGGAGTACTTTAAGAGGGATTAATGGCAACGTGTTTTACTATAATAAAAATATTAAACATTCACCACATATTTATATATGTATGATATAAAATAAACTGCCCTGACCAAGAGTGTGGGCAATAAATTTATAAGGAAATGTTCCAGTAGAAAACAGTAGCAGTAGACAGCAGGGCTGAGACATAGTATGTTGTTTACCTTATTTACTATATACACTGATCTGACTGTATCCACGTTTTGAGCTTAAATAATTTACTCTGGCAAAATACTCTAAATCTGTTTTCTCGAAGAATACCCCAAAATAGCTCATTTCTAGAGCTGCCTAGGTATCTGCTAATAGTTACTTACAAGATCTCTCAATATGGACAGAAAAGGATCTTACCCAATTTTGTCTGAATGTTAACCTTGTTAAATCCCAGCTAGCTTATGTAAGCACTACATAATTAGTGGCAAAAAGAATTTATTTAGAAAACTTCATTATAAATGTCATGCTCTTTATTACATCTGGCCATCTTTAGAAGGGTGAAAAACATGCCAAAATATAAACTATAACTTAACACCAGGCATAACAGGAGGTATTGGAATGTAGTCAGAAAAGGTAAGGTTCAAAATCAGAACTAGAAAACCATGTCTCCTCAGGGCAATCCAAATTTTCCTAAACAAAAGGTAATATACATTCAAGTAACTCACTGTTAAATGTCTTTTTATATTTTGTATTACTTGAAGCACAAAACTTTGCATTGCATTACTTGAATCATAAAATTAGCTTAACAGCTTATTGTAAAAGTAACAGTGAAGTATGTGAAGGTCACAATCTAAAAGAATTATGTATTATAAATAGAATCTTGTTCGAATCATTCATGACTGAATGTCAACGTCAAAGTCACTGAGAAAACTTACTCATTATATCCCCCTTTGGCATTTAGTGCAGAAGTTCCAATAGCTTGCATGTAATTAGAGTGGGAAAAAAAAGTATATATACATATAATAAAAATCAAAGTGAATTCTGATTTAGTAATCAAATGAAGGGTTTTTACTGAACCAGAACAAAAAAGTTTTCTTCACGATACAGAAAGTAAATGTTACAAAGTATAAAATCATAAGGTATTTCCTCATACTTTAAAGAATCTTTACCTTAAATACTAAAACAGGAAAATGAACAAGTACAATACGTAGTTTTATATAAAAGGCCTTCAGGTAACATTCCCATACAACAGTTTAAAAACTGTTTTAAAAAATGAATATAAAACTAAACTATTAACAATAGATGTATTATAGTTTTCACCAATATTAAAAGAGTAAACAAACTTAAAATACATGGCATTTAGACAGTTGAAATATTTAAGAAATACAAACATATAAAGGCTTACAGAATGATTCCTTTTAAAAATTTGGTATCAGTAAGAATTTTGCTATAACATGAACAGAAAAAGAATTATAATGTCAACCATATAACACAGTAACACCGTAGAAAATAAATAACAATTTTTTTTTAATATGGCTTGCCTGTACAGATTAACCTAGAAACCATACTAATAGAACATCCTTCAAACCAGAAAACATTTTGTAGTATGAATACTTATATTTGAGGCAATATCCTAACTTACTTATACCATCTTACTACTAAAACTCTATTTATACATTGTTGTAATAAGGAACTGAAACAGTGTTTTTAACTGTAGTTAATCCAAACACACTGGCCTTACCCCATCCCAACAAAGTACACAAGTGTTGAGCTGTACTACTCTAGGAGAAACTAAAAACCCAAACCGGAAAATTAATTAGCTTTGTGGGGGTTGCACTGATTTAATGGCTTTTAATGCTTTAGAAAAACTAAATAAAACTATCCAATTTATCAACATTTGGAATAAAAGCTATGTAGTTGAGTACGAAGTTTAGAAATTCAAAGTTCTTCATCACTGACTCAGTTACTTCTGACAATCTAACAGAATTTAACACAGGACTTAAGAAGTGCCTGGTTTAATTTTACTAGATACTTCAAGTTTAACTTTAGTGTGATGTCTTAGAATAAGGATAACGATAAAAATACGAGGTAATAAAATTACACTAGAACTGTATTTTAGCTTTCCTTTGGTATTAAGAGATACATTACTAGTACACATCAATTTTCATATAATTATTCAGTTATCATGATTAGCAGAAAACAATGGCTGTGTTTCATTTTTATTTGATAGTAGAGTTGGGACATTAGTTTTTTCCAATTTCTTTTCTTGTTTCATTTTGTTTTTTTCCGGTACCGGAAATTGAACTCACAATTGAACTCATGCTTGCCAAGCAGGCGCTGTGCCGCTAAGCTAAATTCCCAGCCCCATCCAATTTCTTTTCTTTGGAAAGGGTATAAGTATGGGGACATGACTATGGGATTGTATGTATTTGAATTACTGCATTTCTTATTAGTTCTAATAGCATTAATATAGTCGAAAATTTTAAAAAGTGTTTGTAAAAGAATACACAACACAATACTGTGTGGTTTCTCATTCTATTTATATTTCTTTTTTAAGTTTATTTATATACACTGCTAATACAAAAACAGGTACATTTCCTCCCCCACTCCTTTTTCTTTTCTCTCTCTCTCTCTCTTTTTTTCCTTTGAGACAGGATACCACTATGTAGTTCAGGCTGGCCTTGAACTCACTATGTAGCCTAAGCTTGCCTCAAAGTCAGAGTAATCCTCCTGCCTTAGCTTCCTGAGTGCTGGGATTACAGGCTTCTGCCATAATGCTCAGCTAAAAAGCAGGTATATTTGAAGAGTAAAGAAGATAATTGTATAATGCTATGATAGCAGCTTATCTATGATACAACCATCTTGATAACAAATGTCAAATAGCAAATCAAGCACATGATAATCCACATTCCGATATGTACAGTGACTATACATCAAACATATTGAATAACACACATAGGATACAGGAAAAAAAAACACCCACCATGATTAAAATGGCTTTAAAGAACATACATTTTCTTCAGTATTTTTCACTACATTTTAATCACCTTAGAAGTGTTTTTAAGCCTATGGGATGTCCATTCCAGAATAACTGCAATTCTAGTTTCTATTTAATACTTCCATTTAGGCACAATATAACTGCAGATGGATCATTTATATACAAATCAGTAATCTAAAAAAACTTAGCAATGAATTAGTGCCATTCTAGAAAAGCATACATATACTGCATACCCCTAGAATATGTACCTTCATGAAAAAAAAAATTTTTTTTTTTGGTTTATCAGGATAGGATCTTACCATGTAGTTCAGGCTGGCCCTGAACTCACTATGTAGGCCAGACTAGCTTTGAACTCTGGCAATCCTCCTGCCTAAGCCTCCTGAGTGAGAGTGCTGGGATTACAGGCGTGTGCCACCATGCCTGGCTAGCTTTTCTATTTAATGTTTTAAAATAAAGAAAAATTTGAAAATTGCATAAAACTAAAAAAAAATTATGGCGTCCTATAGGCAATTTTAATTTATAAAAATAATATTTTCATGTTTGCCATGCTTCTATGCCTCCTTAAATCTGTACAATCATTCTCAAAGTATATTGAAGTTTATGAAGCATGTATATTAAGAAAACAGAAAAATATCACCAATACTGACTAGAAGGCCTTAACAAAATTTTTTTTGTTTAAATGGCCAAAACATTCTTTTATGTACATATCATAAGTTTTAATGGGCCAAGAGGATGACAAATTTGTTCAAAAGTGATGATTAAGCTGGGCGTGGCTATAATCCCAGCACTTGGGAGGCTGAGGCAGGAGGATTGTTGTGAGTCCAAGGCCAGCCTGAACTACATAGCCAGACCTTGTCTCAAAAAGACAAAAAAAAAAAGGGGCTGGGGATTTAGCTCAGCGGCAAAGCGCCTGCCTGGCAAGCACAAGGTCGTGAGTTCGGTTCCCGGTACCAGAGAAAAACCAAAAAAAAAAAAAAAAAAAGACAAAAAAAAAAAAAGAAAGTGATGGTTAATAGATTTCTGAAACAAAGGAAAATTATCAAAAGCAGCTTTTAAAGAAGCTTTTCTTTCTTTAAAGAAGTATTTTAATGTCCATTGTAGTGAGAACGTTTTTCCTTTTCTAGTCTTAAAGTGTTTCTTATGGCAAAGTCCATATTTTCCTGAAATTTTTTATATGTACTGGTGATAGGGAGAGCTAAACAGTTATTACATTTGTTTCCAATGGGAAAATCCATATGCAGACATTCAATCGAAGGAGCAGGTTTGAATCCAGTAGGCGGAATGGAATTGCAACCAGTTGCAAAAATAAGAATGTCTTCCATTGTTGTTGCAGATTTCCCATCTGAAAAGTTAGACAATGAAAGTGAAAAAACAATAAAAAACAAAAACCAAAAGATAAGAACAAAGCCATATTACATAATGATCATCACTACCTCTTTCCTCAACTAAGCTGGAATACTGAAGGGCACAGATTCCCACTTACATCTTGGGCAAACTAAATCACTAAGTCAGGTATAGTAATACGTAAACAGTACACTCATGAAGTGAATTTCAATGTAGAATGACTCAAAATCATTTTGTCCAACCATTCACTATATATGTTACCACTTCCAGAGCATTACCAATTAATTTATAAGCTTTACAAATGAAAGGAACAAACTGGTGAAAAAACAGCTAAATTAAAAGTTCTTTCATACTATTAAATGGAACGATTTTACATTGCTAATGCTCAATGACAAATATCACCAGCATAGTCCTCAAGAGTACATAAAGAATAATTCAGTCTAACTTCAAACTGAAAAAGATGATCTAAATGATGAGTTTAAAAACTACTACATACTCTTGCCAAGGTGAACTGGTGCACACCATAATTCTAGCTATTCAGGAGGCTGAGGCAGGAGGATTCCAAGTTTGAAGCCAGCCTGACAATTAAGTGAAATTATCCCAAAATAAGAAGGGCTGGATATAGCTCAGCTCTCCTTGAGTTAAGTCCCAAATACTATAAAAGAAAAAAACACTTCTGTGGGGTTGTTGCAATCATCTGTACATTTCAGGTTTTCTATGAAAAATGTCCTTTAACTCAAATTATGTAGAGGAAAACAAACTGCAAAATATAGATTTATTCTGTAACCTTTCATCACTTCCAATTCAGTCATGTAAACTTGTTTTGAAGCAAAACTCTGCAAGAAATAAATATTCTGAAAACAAAAACTCTGAGACAATTAAATAAAAATACAATATCCACATACCCTCAACATTCTGTAGGTAACTGTTCCAAAACCCCAATGCTGGCACATTAGGTAACGTGTGTACAGTAAAAAGGTCTTTAAGGATTTTTGCAGAAAGAGAATCAGGTTTGTGACAGAGGATGTTACAAAATGCTTCTGGGTACATCTGAATTTTCTCCAATACACCAAGTGTTTTCAGACCCTGCTTAAAACTTGAGAAGAAAAATAATGAGCCCATATTCATACATGTGTTTGGTATTACATGATTAGGGAATTAACATCTGCATCTAACTTACCTGGTATTTCTCAAATAGCTTACCATATGTATTCAGATATGAAAAAAAAGGAAAAAGAAAAAATGGACATACTAAATATACTCTCAAATACATAAACAAATACATTATTATATAAACTGAATATATGACTCCCATTTGGATTTATAATTTTCCAATTAAGTTAACAATATCTTCTTAAGAGAAGTAGCAAACATGTGAAGTATTTTAAACCTCAAAGCTATTACAGAAATGAAGCTTCTGAGAAAGCCAGGCACGATGCTGTACACCTGTAATCCCATCACTCTGGGAGGGTGAGGCTAAGGAAGAGTTCTAGCCTAGCCTGGGCAATTCAGTGATACTTTGTCTAAAAACAAAACAAAACAAAACAAAACAAAACAAAACAAAACAAACTATCCTCTAAGTTTAAAAATAGGGCTGGGGATGGGGGATGTAGCTGAACAAAAAGGTCCTGGGTTCTATCTCACAAAAAAAGTTTCTTAGAAATTACAAAGAAAAAGAATGACAAACCTGAACCACATAAAAATTTGAAATGTATGCACTGCTAAAAATAAATTAATTGTGAAAACATTTAAATATACATGACAGAAAATGCATTTCATATATAAAAACTATAAACAATTTTTCTAAAAGATCAATTTTCCACTCTGGGAGGCTGAGGCAGGAGGACTGTGGATACTAAGTGGCAGCCGTGCTCTAGCAACTTATAGACTTAAGTGAGGCCCTGTTTCAAAATGAAACATTTTCCAAAGCAACAGGGATATAGTTCAGTGCAAAGACTCTGGGTTCAAAAGGAAATCATGAGCAAAAAATATGAATAAACCACAGGAGAAATACAAATAAATATTTATTTACTTTTATGAGTACATAAATTAGTTATATAGATAGTGGGTTTTATTTTGGCACATGTGTATATGGATGTAAAATACTTTCATAAGTAAATGAGTATTTTTTAACAAACTTTCTAACTAATAAGCAAAGAACAAAAGTAACATTTTTGCCTGTAAGTCTGACTTTCTAGATTCCCTACCATTTACACATAATCTGCATACACTGATTTATCTCCCCTTTCTGTTGACTTTCTCTCATGAGGAGTTAAATGTGCTGGTATAGTCTGAATGTTTTTCACCCCTCTCAAGATTCATGCTGAAATTAAATCTCCAATACGATAGTACTGGGAGCCTTTCAAGCAATCAAATCATCTTACTACCAAAATCTGAACCATTAATAACAGTTGATTGACCCATTATCCATATAATTTGCATAGGTTAATTTAAAAGCCATAGGAAATTTTCCTTTTACTATTTACCAAGTCCTATGAATTTCCTTTTCTGAAATCTCTTTTATCTGCTCATTTTCTCCATTATGTCCCTGCTACAATCCTATTATAAATAATTTATAATGGAATTGTGTGCCAGGTGTGTAAATCTCCAAGTCCATTTTTAGTAGTGTAGTCACAGAAAGTGCCGGAGGTAAAATTCAACATCGTCATTTATCCTGAAGTAAGATGAACAGTGGCTCCCCTACCCTATTCCCTAGACCTTGTGAATGTGACTTTTTATTTGATAGAGGGTTTTTTTAGTTCATTAGTGCTAAGGATTTTGAGACATGCTCCTATTAGATTATTAGAGCCAACTCCAAATCCAATGACAAGTGTCTTTGTAAGAGACATACAGAGAGTCACACAAAGAGCAAAAGGGCATGTGATGTAGCCAGAGATGTAAATTACAAAACCACAGGTCAATTAATGCTTGGAGCCATCAGGAGCTAGAAAAGGCAAAGATAACTTCTCTCTTTAAATATACACAAAAAGTGAAGCCCTATGGACAAGGTGATATGGGGTGTGTGGTCTCCAAACTGGTGAGAATAAATTTTTGATTGATCAATTTCGTTATCTTTGAGACAGGATCTCACTATGTAGTTCAGGCTGGACTTGAACCCCAGGCTAGCCTGGAACTCACAGTGATCCTCCTGCCTCCCGAGTGCTGGCATTACAGGTGTGGGCCAAAAGGACTAGCTATTTTTTTTTTAAACAAAGTCGAGAGTGCTGGAATGGGTTAGATTTTCCTGTTGGAGCAAGCTCAAACTGTGCCAGACTATTTTGATAATCTGCCAGAGTATTATTTGGCAAATTTCTGTTGTTTTAAACTAGTCAGTTTGTCATAATTTTTGTACAGTAGCTATGGGAAACTACCCATGAAACAAAGTCCAGCTCCCTAAAATGGCTTCCACAGCCCTCCACAGCATAACATTTGCACTGCTTTCTAGCATTTAACTTTCACTTTCTATGTTATTTTTAAAAGATATTTCATTCAAAGTTAAGTTGGCCTTTAAAAAATTTACTTATTTGTTTACAGTAGTACTAGGGATGGAACTCAGGGCCTTTACACTGCACTATATCTTCAGCCCTTTTATTTATTTTTTATTTCGAGACAACAGTCTCAAAAAGTTGCTAATGTGACCAAGGGGGTTCCAATGTAATGATCCTCATGTTTCAGCCTTCCAGAGTGCTGGGATTACAGGGATGTGCCACCACAGTGTTTTAAAAATTTACTTTTAATTATGAAATATTTAAAACATATAAAACTCAGAAAATAAAGGAAAACCAAACTTTTTCATGTTTGCTCAAAATTTGTTAAGAAATATCTTCCATTTACCAGGTTAAATCCTACGTACTCATCATTTTCCTGTCTCCCTCTCCCCAAAAATTAGTACCAGAAATTGTTATCTAAGAATCGTCCTGGAACCTCTCTACAGTCTGCACTTCATTTTACTTCCCTATATATGTACCCCTAGACAGTAGCTAGTTTTTTTGGGAACTTTCTATAGATGATTTCACACTGTGTACTTATTTTACTGTAACTTGCTTTTTTCAGAGTAATTTTCACTTACAGTAACTGCTACTATATCAGAAAGCCTATTACTTTATTGTGAACAATTGCATTGCCTGTTTAAAATGTTTTATTCCTTGCTGATTTCTGCAGTTATTTTGATTTCTAAGTTCCAATTCACCTCCTTTAATAGATACAATAATTCTCAGTCACTCCTCCTTCAGTATTTTAATAGGCATTTTGAAATCAATACTGAATCAATATATTTTCTTTCTGAAGAATAAAAAGATAACACTTATAATTCCAATAGCTCTCATTCTTATCCTACTTCAAAATTATTTCTCCTTGTTTTATAATTCCCCTTGTTAGGCAATTAATTTTTTGCACTTAGTGTTTAGTCTTGTTTACCAACTTCTTTACTATTCCTCATCACTTCCAAATCTCCCCGTTAGAAATCTTATCTCTTATCTTGTTGACCTCTTTCTATAAGAATTTTCTGTACTGTTTTATGTAGACAGAGCCTACAAATGGTAATGATTTTAGTTCTAATTGTTAATAATGTTTACTTGTTCATTTAGTCTTGGTGCTCTGCTATGACCTCCAACATATATATGATTAAGGGAATGGGCCAATTCTGTGTTTCCTAAACTTGTGATAGCCTTCAGTACAGTGCCTATAATATTTCACCATTACATATAGTATCTGCCCAATGAGAAGATCTCTATCAATTGGAGTACCTAAATTTTCCAAGATTGAAATTATGCATTCCATTCTTTAAAAGTTAGCTTAAATTTATGTATGTTTAAATGCAGCAAATTTTGGGGGGGGGTCTCTGGTTATATGTTAATCATATGGTTTTTCTCCTTTAATCTATCAGTGGGGTATGTTACAGTGAGATCTAATGTTGCTATGAACTTGCTTTCTGCTATAAATACTCCTCAGAAGTGATGCTTTTATTCATTGCTCTTCTGGGTCTTCAATTCATTATTTGTAGGCTTAAACTATTAACCTCTCAGATCTCTGTTTTAAATATCTTAATTTTGCCATACATTCAGCAATTTCTTCTTATTCTGTTGACTTTGCTTTATAGAGTGTGTGTACTTGGGTGCAGATTCCAGACTGTGTAATATTCCTAAAGAATTTATTCTTTTGACAAAATTATTAGAGTCTTTTAAGATTAGGCCTTTCAGCCATTTACATTTATCTATTTAGAGTTCTGGACAGTCTGACTTTTGTTTTTAGCCTTAAATTATGCTTTTCTACTTAACGTGTTTTTCTTGGCTTGTATTCATCTTTTTCTGTCCACAAGAGATTTTTAAATAGGTTTTCTTGACTCCCCCACTTCATGCTCTCAACTAGTTTGGAAAGTACATATTCTATTCTTGCTATTTTAGTTTTTCTAAAAAGATTTATACTTCATTTAATAAAGCTTAAAGCTAATTAATGCTTTCCTACACCTATTCAATACAGGTTTCTTAGATCAGGTAAAGTCTAACTTTACCTTCTATATTATAGGCCTCTTTCTCTACCTTAATTACTTTCATTTCCTCTACATACAATGTGAAACACATCAAATAATGTTTTACTTTTCCTTCAACCATCAAACACAATTTGAAGGTGGCAAATTCTCTTAATAATAATATCTACATTTTTACCTCTTCAGTCTGTTGTGTCATTCTTTGGATCCTGATATCCCTAGCTAATGTCTATCTCTCTCCAACTTTCAAAATCTTATGTTCATTTTATATGTAAAATCCAGAGCTTTTAAAAACTGTACTTAGCAGGAAGAATAGAGATATAGAGTGTCTATAATATATTATCAGAACCTGAGATCTATGATAATTTTTTAACCTAGAGATACTATTTGATTCATTTCATATTTCGTATTTTTTCCATGAAAAATCTTTTCACTAACTCTAAAAATACTTTGTCTCATTCGGTTTGTTCTGTTATTTAAATCTTTAATGTGCTTTACCTTCCAATTCTTGCTTTCTTGCAAGGTTTTAAGTTTTGTCCTTGTTGTAAATGGGAACTTCACTTTTGTGAGGACTGCTCTCTCGTCAGCATTCTCACTAGGAAGCTTGAGCTGTAGAAATTTCCCTATACCACTGCTATGTATTTGCTTATTTGTGGCACTCTATGGGTATCACTGACTTCCAAGACCAATTAATTTGTTAACATTTCTGCCTCAGATTGATGTCCATAAAGAAACCCCAAAACGAGTTTGGGACAAGTGGAAGCTTTTGATTTTTTTCACGTGACAGCGAGGGTATTTTAGCATTTGGTCTTCTTGTTATGTCTGACACTTGTAGGCCTATTTTCTTATACGCTCCCTATATATCTTGCTAATTTTAAAAAATCTACATAAAAGAAGGGATTAATCTTCAACTTTTTCTTCTTTGCCCTTCATCTGATCTTCCTTAACCCCTAATTTAATCTTCAGGTTTTAATTTAAACACCCTTGTATGGGGAAGGCTTTCCCAACCCTTAGATGACTTTGATCTATATAAACCAAAACAAAACGAATCACAAGCAAATGACAATAATCCACTCTCTTAGGCAATGAGAAAAACCCATTTGTAGAGGAACTACAGTATTTGGAGAAAAAACATTATGTACATCTGCCTCCTATGAGATGCTTTTTTTTTTTTTGATTTTGTGAGACAAGGTCTATGTATTACAGCCTGGCCTTGAACTTACTATGTAGTCTGGCTGGCCTCAAACTCATGGTGATCCCTCTGCCTCTGCCTTCCAAGTGCTGGGATTTATAGGCATTTGTCACCACATCCAGCAAGAGATGCACTTTGAGTAAAATTATATTAATTCTATCTGAATTTAGTATTTCATATATAAATCCTAATTATAAATAGTAATCCTATTCATAGAAAATCTGGGTACACTTAAAAGGGTTATATAGCTGTTTTTAAAATTATAATATTGAAAGTATATTGGAAGTCATATCCTTTGTAACTATTTAAGAGTATGATGTTCTTAATATACTTCAGAAGAATGATAGGGAACATCCCAAATGTCCTTTAACAGGAAACTGGTTGAAAAAAATAGCAATGTATACAAAACAGAGAAATTCTGAAAGAAACAAAGAATGTCTATTTACTACCAAGGTGACCTCTAGAAAATGTTGTCAAATGGAAAAAAAAAAAAAAGAGTAGAAAAAAGGGTGGTTATCTAATAAAAGTACTCAGCACACACACACACACACACACACACACACACACACCTCTGTCATTAAAAAGAATAATTATGAAATGAGAAACAATTTTTTAAAAAAGCCAAAATGATTACCTCATAAGGGGATGGAAGGTGGATGTGATAAGCACAAAAGGTGTACTTCTTTGAATACACTGTTTCACAGAGCTAGCTATTTTCTATAGATGCTTTTTTTTTTTTTTATTTTAGAAATAAAAGGAGGAAAATACTAACAGACAGACAACATTTTACAAAACAGCAAAGGATCAGTACAGACATTACAGAGTTACAAACAGAGTGGTAGGGAATTAACAATGCTTGTTGTATTACATATTGATATCTTCAACGTAGTTTCTCATGAAAACAGATATAGACGTACAAAGCTGATCAACCAAGGCCTCATTGACAGCTTCTTTCAGCAAGGAAACACAAGACAATAGAACAGCCATGTTAACTATCCTGCATATACATACATACAAACTTTCTCCTTCTTTCCCTTCTCTTTTCCCATATCCCAGTAACCCTTTACCTTTGAGTGCTTTCCTATCAATTCACAATGGCTATCATATCGCCTAGTTTAAATTAACTCTTTCAGGCTTTACACTAGAGAAACAATGCGGTGCTTGCACATGTATGTTTGATTTATTTCACTTATGAGTATGGTCTCTAGTTGTGACCACATACCTATAAAAGCCTCGAGTTTATCTTTTGCATTACATTTTTTTTTTTTTTTGGTTTTTCTCTGGTACCGGGAACCGAACTCACGACCTTGCACTTGCCAGGCAGGCGCTTTGCTGCTGAGCTAAATCCCCAGCCCCCAGAGCTAGCTATTTTCAATATGTTTTTACTATATATTTGACTTTGGAAGCATGCAAATACTTCATATAATCTTTAAGTAATATTTTAATAAAATCTTTAAAAATAAAACAGCCAAAATTAAAATGGAAATGTATATCCAGTTTATAGTAACACTGCCAAGATTAACTATTCCAAGTGACTTAACAGCCCACTAACGTGATATATAACTCTACAAAACAGAAAAATAATTTTAATTTATTTTCAATAATTATACGTTATTTGTAGAAATGTTTGGGCTATTACTCTGAGACTACTGTTTATGAAATGTGTAATAAATCAAGTGAAAAATGACTTTGCAGCCTAATTCACCTGTGTTTTTAAGAAATGGGAGTTTCAATATGGCTTAAAGAAAAAGTTTAGTAAAAATCATAGAGTAGTAAATTTGAATTAGAAATCAACACAAATTCATGAAGTATTTTACTTCAGAAAACTAGTCTAAAGCAAAACAGAATCCTATATTTTCCAGTTTTGATCTACTGAAAAGACCTAGACAATTAAAGCCTTATATCCAGAGAACTGAAAAAAAGGTAATGTAATGAGGTTTGTTTACTTAATAAGACAATATAAACCTTAGTAAGGATAATAATTATAATGGTTTTAAACATATCAACTATATTTAAAGTCTATGGGTTAATCTTAATATGAGTGCTGGGGATCGAATACAGAACCTTATGTCTGATGGGCAAATGCCTTACTGCTAAGCTACATCCCCAGCTCAGATACTGAAATTGTTAAAGAAATGAATCCATCACTTCTGAGATGATTTTGTATGTGGTGTTAAGATTAAGATTGGACACAGGCTGATAACAGTTTTAGGTGGTGAACACACAGGCTACTTTCATAGATATTTTCTATTACTTTTTAAAAAATAAAGGCGTTTGAAGAGATATGTAAGTTGTCAAAGTTCTTTTAAAAATTATTGGAATTAAAAAGTGTGAAGACCACTCAATAAATTAAAGAAGGGCAAAAATCAGATCTACTGTGTTAATCAAAGAATAGTTATGACCTCTCTTACCCAGCAGATGACAGGTGCTCAATAAATACTTATTAAATGAATAAGTAGAGATGGAATAGTTAGCCCATATGTTTTAGAGTTTTTAAAATAACTTTTTATTTAGAAACATGATTATAAATTGAAGTAATGATCATTTTTTCTACTAAGCATCACACATTAATAGAATTCTGTATAGAATGACTGGAGCAGTGATCATTCTTAAGAGGTTAATTTTCAAGTGTTATTTATAAATAAGATTTAAATTTTCCTGAAACACATTTACATTTATTACTAAATGTATCTCACAATATAAGATAATTAACTACTTTAAACGTATCATTTGAGAGTTTAACATATAAACAAATGCTTACCTTTCAAAGGGTGCTTGGACTCTCTTAATTACATGATAGACAAGTATGTCTTCTACTAACATGTATTTATCAGTTAATGCTGTTATATGTCTTAGACATCCACTAAGTTCTAGGTAGTTATAGCATTCATTTATTACTGAGTTTAAGTCATCCATGTTTGTTGCAGTTTTTATCTATAACAAAGGAGAAAATACACCCACTTTACTCATTTATCTGTGAATGATATTTATATTTCAAATGACACAGTACTTTATACTCAATTTCTGAGTACATCAGGGTGGATTGAAAGTATACTAGGAAGAATTTTCTGGAATAAATGCCTGACCATCTAGTTCAACAAATACTGTATACTTCTGTCTTCAACATACTTAAAATATAGTATCACTTTAGTATAGGAAATTGCTGGTATAAAAATAAATGATATAGAAAAGTTACATGGCACTGAGATGAGAGATGATCTAAGAAGATTTTGTGAAAGAGAAAGTAGATCAGCTAAGACTTAAAAGATGGACAGAGTTTTATCGAGAGTATTTAAAAAAAAAAAAACCAGCATAAACAAAGAAATCATTATGTGCCAGACACTTTCATATAGGTTAACTCTTTTTTTGAGACACAGGGTCTTGCTATATAGTGCAGGCTAGCTTTGAGCTCATTATGTCATCCAAGCTGCCCTTGAACTCAAGGTGATCCTCCTGCCTCTGCCTCCCAAGTACTGGGATTACATCACAAAGGCTAACTCTTAATGACACAGAAAGAGAAATATAAAAATAGGAGTCAACCAATAATCCCTTAATAGAAAAATGAATTAAAAAAATGTGTCAAACTTCCCTGCTATCCACTTTCAATAATACTAAGACAATATTGTAAGTGATTGGACAATAAGAAGGAACCCAATTTCCTAGATGAATTTATATATATCACAACTCTTTGTTTAAACTAAGGGCCAGTTCTATAAACGCATAGATAGCATTTTATCCTTTGTGAATCAGTTGGTCTGTCCCAGCTATTCAATTCTGCCAGAGTAGTGGGAAAGTGCTATGTAACAAATGGGCATGATTGTGTTCCAATAAAACCACTTACAGAAAACGCAGCTGGCCAAGGCCTAGAGATCCTGATCTTGGCAAAAGATTTTAGAGGACAATATCAGCATCGGCCTTCTTTCAGCCACGGTCTGGGTCTCTTTGTTAAAGATGCATAGTCTACACTGAACTTCCTATCTATCCTATTACCCAACTCCTTTTGAAAATTATTCTGTTTACATTTATGTTTCTTACATCATGGTTTATTCTATTTGTTTCTCCTCTATAATTCTGCTAAAATGTAAATTCTGATAAAATAGGAAAGGGGTATACAGTATTTGTTGATTAAGTGTATGAACAAATAGTGGGTAGGAAGTATTGGAGTACATAAACCATGAAAAAGAGTTAAAAGTCATAAATGCCTTTATTGAGAAAAGCAATGAGAAGCCATTGAGCATTCCTGAGGAAGAAAGCAGAATGGTCGAAATGGAACTTTTGGAAGACTCACTCTTAATACTAAAATATCCTGTTTGTCTAAGCCAAGATATAATTTGAGTTTGGTTTAGTGGGTGCACTAGAAGTATACAAAGGAAAGGTGGAGGATATGCCACTACAAACAGCCTGACATATAACTGTTAAACGAACTACGAAAGAATGAAAAAAACTCTTCCAGGATAGCCTGAAACAAGAAGTCTCTTAGAAAAAAAACACAAAAAATTGAAGGAGGGTGCTTTTGTTCAAATAGAGAGGGCCTCAAAACACAGGCCCATGAATCACTCAGGAAGGTTGTAAGACAGAAGAAGCTCTCCAAAGAATATAGGATGTGGGTTAAGACAACACTGAAAAATGCTTACGTTTCAGGGGTAAGAGGAAAAAGCATTAAAGAAAACAACAGTAATCAAAAGTAGAAGTAAAATACTAAAACACTAGAGAGGAATTCTAAGAAATTGGTGACTACATCTGTCAGAGAAAAATGAAGTATTAAAAAGAAAGGACTATAGATATGAAGATTCAGATCTCTTGTTAGAAACTATGAACAAGCCAAGTTAGGAGAGTCATGGTGGGAACAAAAGATTGATTACAAGAAGATAAGATATGAATAGAAAATGGAAAACAGAGACAATGAAGTTAAAGAACAATTTTTAGTATACAGAATAAGTTAAAGGGCCAACTTAAAGTATGACTTTAGGATGAGCAGTATTAGGCCAAATAAATAGAACTGTTGTTAGTTACAATATAGAAACTTACAATTCCATAGTGCTTACTTTGTGGTTTAGAAACTGAGGATTAACAAGTTAACATGTTTAAGCTTATAGCATTTATGTGATAGCTTATAGCATTTATGTGAACAGCTTATAGCATTTATGTGAACTGACCCTCAGACTAAAATCTCACTTGTAAGGCTATGCTTTAATCATTTAACTATACTACCTATCAATTAATGGACAGAGTATGCTTAAAAATGAGGGAAGTTAAGAAGGAATCAGCAACATGCAGGCAGTGATACTTATCCCATAGGGGATTATGATAAAGGAGTTTGTATGTGTGATATATACAGTACAGAACCCACTGTAAGTGCTCAATAAATGTTAACTACTATTATGTGGGAGCAGTAAGACTCCACACTTATTTCCGTAAGAAACAAATTAAACTTGGTTTTTCCATCTGTCATTCATACTTCCCTGTAAGAGAAAGGGCAAGTATTCTAAACGGTGAGGCAAATCCTTTCTTTCCTCAGATTCTCCTGCATGTAGGAAAGTGCATTTTCAACTGTTCTCTAACATCTAACAAGGAACCTGACTCTCATTACCTCTGGCAGGTAGATTAAACCACCCAATTCATTTTGAACCCAAATCTAACATTATTCAAATGGCTTTATCAACATTAAATCTGGCACTTTGATCTCTAGTTACCTGACTTTTACATCTATCTCTTAACTGGTTCTGAACTCTTTTGGTAAACATAAATACCATACAATAACTGATAAGTACACATAGGAATTATTCTATTCATAGTGACATACTTCTGCAATGTAGTCTACGTTTTAATAAACAGGTACATTTCTTACCCTGATTATAATCTGCGCCACGTCGAAGTCTGATATATCATCTAAAATTGGTTGGGTATTTTCTGGTCCATAAGCAAGGCAGTTAAACAGGGTTTTAGAAAAGAAACCAGGTGAAGGACCACCATGAACCAAGGAAATGGCAAGCATTTTGCCAGCTTCATAATAAAGATTCTCTTTTAGAGCTGTAAATACAGATGAAAACACATCACATATGCTTCTTTTATTACTGTAAGATATCCATCATTTTAAGTGAATACATTATAAAAAATTAAGCCAAAAATCTAAACATTAGACAAATCTAAAATAGCACTCATTAGAAGCTATTACTCCATGTATGCACCTGAGTTATCTAAAAACATTTCCTGAATATAATCAATTGTAGAAAAAAGGGAAAATATACGAGTTTTGAAAAAAATTGCAACACCTATAACCCCACAATAATCACTGTAAATCCTTTAGTGTATTTGTCTGTACATACACACACATAAGATAGCTTAATTTTTGCTTTTTTCAAGTTATATTGTAAAATTTTTCTTATACTATTCAAAATTACTCACTTATAATTAAGGAATGCATTAAGACAAATATTGTTCAAACACTGAGATGTACAACAAAGAAAAAAATCTCCCTATTACTGGATATCCACGTTGAGTGCATTTTTCAATTATCTGAGATATAATGTTACAATCAATATTTATTTACACGTTTTTGTTTATGTATGTGACTTGATTAGGATAGACTCCTTACAGTGCATTAAGGGTCAAATGATGTATTTTTAAGGTTCTTTATGTATATCATTAAATTATCTTTCTAAAAGGAACAAATTTACTCCAAACAGTATATGCTATCTTACTGTACTCTTATAGCTTTAAATATTTTAAAAGGTGTCATTCAAAATGTTTTAGTAACTATGATGGTCAAGAAGATAAAATGTAAAATGTCCTTTGTTTTTCTACTAACTACTTAAATCAGTAACATTTATAGTAATGGAAATTATAGTAAAATCTCTTCAATGATGACCTTATTAGTTATATTTTATGCATAAAAAATAACAGAAATATTGACAGGATAATTAATTTAAGTATGTAAAGCTAGCAAAGTAAATGTGTACAAACTTGAATTCAGATTTTGTGACTTAATCCACTCTTTACCAAAGTTATCCAAAGTTAACATTATTGATTATTTTAAAGGAATTTAATGTTACTGATAATTTTTAAAGGTATTTAATAAGTTGTTTGTAGTATACAGAGTAATAATACTTCAGGCAAGGTGAATAAAGTCTAGGAAACAAAGAGAAGAAAATTCCTATGTAATGAAATAAGTCCTCTCTTACATAGGTGTGCATTAAAAAATTCTTAAAAACAAATTGTGTTAAAAAAATCTATTATGTTTGAACCAAGAAACTATTTTACTACAAATCCTATGCGAAGGCCAAATTTCAAGTATATGACTACAAGAAGGACCCAAATAATTATCTGTCCCATTTGGCCACTGTATTCAAATGAAATTTGAATATAAAGTTTAAATGAAGTTAGCTTTAATTATGAAATCAGAAGGCTGTAAAATATAGATATTCTTAAACAATGTTTCACTACAAAGCCTTTCTGCTCCCCTCTCCTTCCCTCCCCTTTCTAATTTTACCAGTACTGCAGTGTGAACCCAGGACCTCACTCATGCTAGACAAAGGTTATACCATGAAGTTATCACTGATTATAACAAAACTTAGCCTTAAAAATATCTTTTCATCCCTCTTTCCTATGATCCTATCAGTAGTTCATTAAGATAAATTACATATTTATACTGCAGTGAATGAAAATTAATTCTAACCTTATTTCTATATATGCTATATTCAGCATGTGCAATAAATAAAATGATTACCTTGAGAATTTAGAGATAAGTTCTTTGATAAGGAACCTTCAAACATTGGAGAGTTCTCAAGATACTGCATTAAAAGACACAGAAATTCTTGCTTTGATCCCGGTTGCTCTCTTCCAAAATTATCTTTCTCAAGAAATACTACTTCAATTATGTATGAAGGATTGAAGTTTTGATTTCTAAATTCATCTACGGCACTGTTCCAGATATCGGCTTTCTTGATACATAATCTTTTAGATTTTTTCTTAATTTGAAATCCTAACTCTATCAATATTGTTGAAATATCTCTTCTAAACTTGCTGCCTTGCCTACAAAACATGAATTTTAACACAGATTTACTTTAAAGTATTTTATGTGAAACAATTATATAGACAACAAAAAAGAGAAAATAAAGTTGAAAAGGAAATTCTTCCCCAGCTCTTACCCGAAAGCTGAATAATGGCTGCTACTGGAACTGAAAACAGTTATTCGTTAACTTTAGGTTTTAAACTCTTGATTCCTCACCTCAATCTTCTATTAAAATCATTTACATTAAGTCATTTACATTAAGGTTGATAGATGATTATCTCAAATTTGCTCAATTCAGGGACTAAAGGTTTAAGAGTCACAAACTCAAACTCTTACTACTTCCCGACCAATGGCTAAAGAACTGGCTTAAAAGAACCTTATTTCATATTCCCTACATCCATTAAAAAAACAAATGTAATCTTTGCATATAATATATGAGAAAACTATGACTCAAAGAGATTACACAATGTATTTGAAATCATAAAACTATAATGAACAGCAGAACTAATATTATAAACAATTCACAATCTCTTAAAGGATACCTTTTGGTCTAGACCAATGAGTCTCAAAACGTGGCCCAGACCACAGCAGCAGCTACACAGCTACACAACCAGAAGCTCCATAATGACAATCAGGTGGATTTTATGGCCTAGCTCAAATCATTTCCTGCACCATTTTCCAGTTATAATTTAAGTTAATATACTCAATGACCACGGATCGTATCACTACAGCAAGTAATAATTTTTTTTCACATCCTAATACATTACAATGGCCAATTGTGGTCCAGGACTTTGCTTTTCCTTTTTTCACAGAATGCCCCTTTTGCTGGCCTACTTTGAGGAAAAATCGAAGTTATCCTCTTTTTACAGCAGGCTGACTCCCTGTTCCCACCTGTGTCAGTAGGAACAATAATGTTATTCTTCAAGAATATGACTGCATGTTAAAGCAGGAGCAAGGAATCAAACTTCCTTGGAACAACATGTTTGGAACTCTAAATATTACGATTATTTAAATATAACCGAAATTTTATAGAAAAAGTATAATAAATAATTGCAGATAAACAAATTTTTCAGTTGCATTAACAAAACTGGCATCCCCTGCCCCCAAAAAACAAGGCCCTCTTTAGGCACTTTATTAAATAAAGAGTATTGAAAAATGAACTCTCAGGAGTATTCTGAAGTACATAAAGGTGTTTCACTTCAACAGCTAAAAAGTAAGATGCCATTAATGTCATAAAAAGTGTTTTCTTCTGATGATACTCTAGCATTAAGTGCATTTTTTCAATGAATTTTTAAGTGATAAAACGTTTTTAACTTATAGTAGGTTTCTCTTTGAATTATTAGAGCTTTTTGTATCTTCTGCATACTGTCACATTGGAAGTATTGATATCATAAAGCCTGAGTAACTTTAAAATTGAGTTAGTGAGCAGTGAAATTTTAAAGACTTAAACAATTATTTTTCAAATGAGGAGTTAGAATAATATAATTAGGCCCTCACTAAATACATCTTCCTAAATTATCTTGATCATATTTAGCTGAGTCACTGTAAGCACGTTGTCACTAAGAATAACATTATGGCCACTAGTTTTCTGTGTTATAATCTTTTATCCTTGATATTTTATAAGTACACTGTAGGTACTTAAAATCCCAATTACTTTATCAGAATGAATAGAAAAGATTCATTACTGAATTACATGTATAGTTTAAACTTAAAAACATAACCCATATCATAAAGTAACTCGGAACTGATATGTTGACCAACAACATTGTTAAAAAGCCAGAAAGTTCATATAAAATGTTTTTTGCACTTTTTTATACTTTTTTACTATGTGCACTTAGTTCCAAAGAAAGAACTTTAGATTTATCAAGCTTACCGACAAAGCCTCTATCAGACTTTCGTGACTGTGGCTGATTACTAGAGATGATTTCTGAGTTGCATTTGTACTTTCAAGGGGACTTAACCAGGGAGACTGGCTTAGTAGCTACACCATATAACATCCTGACCTTAGAAGAAATGTTTCTGCCTCCCCAGGGTCTTTTTTTAGTACATGTGCAGTATATAGTGTCTACATTCCTTGTGTGAGTTGGTACATATAGATAACATCTTAATTCCTACTCCCATCCCCTTCCCTCTGCTCCCTATCCCTCCCTCCACCTCTTAATCCTCTTCCCATTAGAGCAAGAGCTATCTCCCTGCTTCCTACCTTTTACTCTGCTCTCTGTAATTTGAGTTTCTCATATAAGAAAAGCCATGCAGTATATAAGCTTATGTGTCTGATTTATTTCACTTAGTATTATGGGCTCCAGGTGCATGCATTTTCCTACAGTTGCAAATTTATCTTCTTTTTTTGACACAGTAGCACTCCACTATATGTATGTATCACATTTTCTTTATCCATTCATCTGTTATGGATATACAGGCCACATCTTAGCTACTCTGAACTGTGCTGCTATAAACGTGTATGCACCATCTTCCTTTGAGCAAATATCTAGATTATCTAGCAGCTGTGTAGAATTAATTTCTTTTTGGCTTTTTGAGGAATCTCTATATCGATTCCCATAGTGGTTGTACTGGTTTATATTCCCATCAACATGTAAAAGGTTTCCTTTCCCCTCCCAGCCTCATCAGCATTTTATTAGATTTCTTGATGATGGCCATACTTTTAGGGGGTAAGAAGGAATATGTGTTGTTTTAATTTGCATTTCTTTAATAGCCAGCAGTGTTGAGCATTTCTTCATCTATTTGTTAGCCGCCTGTACTTCTGTGAAGTGTCTATTCATTTCACTTGCCCATTTTTTTGTAGGTCTTTTATTTTGGGGGGTTCAACTTTTTGGGATTTTATATATTGTAGGTATGAGTCCTCTGTCTGAGGAATAGTTGGCAAAAAATTTTCCTTCCTGTAGGCTGTCCTTTACACTGTTGTTTCTTTCACTGTCCAAAAGCTTTTTGATTTGATATGATCCCACTTGTTAATTCCCAGTACTACTTCCTGTGCAATCAGGGTTTCATTCACAAACTCCTTGCCTATACCTATTCTAAACTTGTAAACATTTTTTCCAACTTCTTGCAGGAGCATTTTAATGCAATTATCCTCATTTGATGTTTCTAAAAGCATTTCTAAATAATGAATCAAAGTTTCATGTGGAAGGTCAGAGATAACCTACAAAAAGTGTGCCAGAGACAGTGTGTACTGCTTTGTTTATCCAGTCATTTCTGCAACAGGTATTTATTGAACCACTTTGTTTTGGTTTGTTTTTGACTCATGTTAGTTCATGTAGTTAGAACTATTTTGAGATGTGGTCATTTTTATAATCCTCACCCAAAAGATGTGGTAAAGAGTTAAGTAATTTTCCAAAGACATACACAGAAGGTGACAAGAGCCATCTATAAACCAAGTGTCTTCCAAGTTCTGTTTCTTCAGTCTTGAGCAGAAAGGCTGGGGAAAATACAAAGGCCCTCTGCTGTAGAGTAAACCCAGTATTTAAATTATGTCAGTGTTTGTATGTCACAAAAGCCAACCTTTTATCTGTCTAGTCGTATCATTTTATTTGACTTATTCCTTTTCCTTTGGACCACTGACATCCACCGCTGCTCCCTGATGCCCAAGCTAAAATGTTTCTAGTTATGAACAGTTTTTCCATACCTTACACCCTACCTGAAATTTTTCAGTAGATTATTTTACAATCTCAGCTTTGAATTTAAAAAAAAAAATCTTTCTAAATGCAAACCCACACAACCTTAGCCTGAAGCACCTCATCTACTTTAATGTCTTTTAGTTAATTAGTATCTCTGGATAAAAGACATTTCAAGTACGAACATGGAACTAACTAATAAGAATTTTAAACAAACTTATTTCCTTTTCTTTCCATTTGGCACCTCTGAACAATGTGGTTTTCATTTCAGATCTTTTATGCTTCAGGAAAATGATGTATTCATCAACATAGCTTCTTACAGACAACACAGGTAGCACTGAGCTGTGTCCCCACCCCTCACTGGTACCTTTTCTTCTCTCTCCTTGTGGTACTAGCCATGGAACCCAAAGTCTCATGAATGCTACCACTGAGCTACACTCTCAGCCCTCACTCACACTACACCAGGCTTGCACACTGAAACTGAATTTTACCCTAGAATATTTACCTCAGTCATGTTCTGTCACTATTGTGTCAAACTATCCAAACTGTTGTAATTTCTTTGCAAATGTAGGATAACGAAAGTACATGCTACATAGAGTGGCTGTGGGTGGTGAGGTAGGGTATGTTAGCTTTGTGTTAATATTGATGACTACTTCCCTCATGGCATGTTATATACAGGGATGGCCTGAGGAATAAATCTTCACCTTTGTTTAGAAACCACATATGACAAGCAAGTCATATGTTTTGAAAAATGACATCTCTTCAGTTAGTTACCTAAATAGGACCTGTACGACACACTGAGCTCATCAGTTTTGAGTGAGGCAGGTACCATGCTGGCTCTAGGACTTCCTTTGCTGCCTTCAGAGTTAATCACAGCCAGTGGCCCCAATTCAGCACATATCGGTGCCCTGCTCTTTGTGGATTCTGCTTCTGTATCAGAGATACCTAAGCAGGGAGTTACGGGGGAAGTGCCACACAAAGGGCCTAACACTTTGGGCTCACGAGCCCTTCCTTGAGCCATCCTAATGAACAACTGTCATTAGGTAGGGTGTAAGAAACTACAAGACAACTCCACATAGCAGCCAGTACGTGTTTTTAACTTCGGTCTCAGATTGTCCCCATACTATTTAGAAGACACCCTTCTTCTGTTTCCAGTGTAATATATGAATGAAACAAGGAACGGGGTGAAATATTTCAGAAGTATGAATAATCAAAAGGGCTATGTTACAAATACTTCTTGAACTTTATATTTTATGTCCTCCAAATATATAAATCCTTTAAATAACCTGTTTATTTTTTTATAGAAAGCCGTAACAGAACATGATTAGTACATAACCATGTAAGAACATTCACACTGATACAATCAACAAATTCTTCAAATTTGTACGTGAGAAATAGTCTGAGTGTTAATTATAGGAGGACTTCGACAGGCTCATTTTGAGAATAGTCCGCTTTGATAACAAACTCAAGACACAGCTTGCCAACAGAATCCTTTTAGACATAATCATTTTTATCCAACTATTTTGAAAGGTTTGTGGATTTACAGTCTCCTTCTCTTCATGGTACCTTGTCTGGGAAGACATAACAAATGTGGCCCTGTAGTATGTGTATCATATTCTGGTGTTTTGTTATTGCCAGATATTGAAAAGTAAAATAAGATACCATCCATCCGTTACACAGAATGAGGCTCCTGCTCATCCAATAAACAGAGCAGTTCCTCATTCACATTTTTGTTCCATATAGAGAGGATCAAAGAATTCTGTTGGAGTTAGTTTGCCTTAGGGAACAGCCAGTCACTGAGCACAGCCCTGACAGTATGAATATAACTCTAGCCAAACAAGCAATTTTAGCTTATGCTTTATCTGAACCTCCAACTTTGGTACACACTTCATTCCAAAGAGTGCAAACAGGGAACCAAAAAAGCCCAAACTGACAGCCATAATTGTAAGTCCTCTACATGCCAGGATGTAACTGTCCAGCACCAGCATGGAAGGGAAGTCCTTGCAGTTGGAGATACCCATGAAGTCTTCCAGATTGGCCCAATAGGTGGTGGTGGTGATGACAGTGCTGTCGATGGTAGACACCTTCCAATAGTAGGTGGGCAGTATGGAGGACACCAGTACACAGCCAGAGATGGAGACCATGAAGATGCTGATCTCCGAGGCCATGAAAGCCATGCTGCCAGCCGCAGCCACCTCGTGCTGGTGCTTGCACTCCCACTCGCAGCCGGACCCCCAAAAGTGGCATTTTAAAACTGTGATTCCTTACAGTTTGACAATATTCTACCTACCTGAAAAATGAAGTATCCAAATAACTTTCAGAAAAATTCTCTTTTACATCTTCTAAGGTTTTAAATTTGAATCTTAACATGAGAGTACTTCATCAACCTTAGCAATTAATACTATTTTTCTACTTTTTTCTTACTGGGTAAAGCAAGGCTCTAAAGGCTTTTTTGCAAAGTTACATAAACTTAAAAGTCATAACTACAACTGAACACCTGATACAGTATAAAAGTGTAATTCCAGTCATGTTCAAATATTTAAGAATGATTTTAAGAGTTATTTATTTTGCTATTTTGTGGAAATAGTTAAGAATATGGTAATATTTAATAGATATGCCTTAAAATTTTCCAAAGGGAAAAGGTGAGATTTAGATTTCTGGTATTAAGCAAACAATGGTTATAATACCACAAAAAAACCATCTTTATATTCATTTTTCAAAGTGACATGGTATGCTTGATATTTCAATTTCCTTTATTACTCTATAATCAAATGACATTTTAAAGCTACCTTGAAAATGATCTACAACAAATAAACTTTGTGACTCAGTACACAAGAGTAATTAAAACAGAATTCACATATATATTTATGTGCAATACAATCTGATAATTTATATTCTAGTCTATTCCATTTTGATTTTTTTAAAATGCTGGTTGCATTGATTTTATGATGAATAGTGAACTCTATTAACACTTATAGAGTACTTATGATCAGCTAACATCTAAGTGTACATGGCATTTTTTGTCATAATTTTCTCCAAATAGATTTTGTATCTCAAATTTAAAGCACACACCTTAGTAGATCTTTACTCTGCGCTCCAGGTGACTGTCTGGGTAACTTAGGTGATGATTCTTCCAACAAACAATCGGTAATGGCCACATTATTAGAGTTGGGTAATGAGTGTTTTTTGGCTTTTCGGAAATCTACAGATTTAAATCTCAGCGTTAGCATTACAAAAATAAAAATAAAAAACTTTATTAAAATAGAAAAATTCTATTCAGAATTATAAGCTATTACCTGAATTGTAGATAATACTTCTACATTCTGAACACTCCCAATTTTGTTCCCATGACCGTAGTGAGGAACAGGCTAAATGTGTTCCACTAGAACCACAGCACTGACAGCGCTTTATCTCCCATTTGCTGAGGACACACAGAAAAGCAGATGTTTATGTTTGACACTAAATCTAGTTCCAATCATCTGTGCTACCATAGACTTCGCCCTCTGCTACACATACAAAATCAACCCTTTTACCACAGGGAAAATAGATTACCTGCTTCAATACTTTTCTTTCTTTCTTTCTTTTTTGTCTTTTTGAGACAGGGTCTCGCTGTGCAGTTCAGGCTGTCCTTGAGCTCACTTTGTAGCCCAGGCTGGTCTCAAACTTCTCAAAAACACTCCTCCCGAGTGCTGGGATTATAAGTGTGCACAACCATGCCTGGCTTGCTTCCATACTTTTCTAAAGCAGTTTTTCTATTTAATTTATTATGTGTGTTAACTTATATTTGAAGATGGCTATGCTCACAGGGAGACTGTGTCATCGTGTCTGATGTGGAATAAGTACTCAATAAATTTCAAGGTAAAGCAATACTTTCTAAAATGAGCTTGCTCAGACACTTCAGGTATTGAGTAGAACCACAGGGTCCAGATTTCCTTCCTGGGTTATAATCATATCCTCTCTCATTTGCCTTTTCCACTGTTGTGTGACAGGCAGAAGTTTATATTCATATTTTCTGTGTGGATATGGGTATGGGTTGTGTTATGTGCTATTACTATCATTCTCTTTATATAGCGATGGAAATAGCTCCTGAGTGAATGGGTATGTGGGTAACAGGAGAGGTAGCTAAGTATTGCTCCAGCTCTGTAGGTCCTAGTTCTTACTCTTTAAAGGGAAAGTTTAACCCTTACAATTTTAATTGTTACTCCTGTTATTAAAATGAGAAAACCAAAGCAGAGTGAGATAAATTACTCGCCCAACTAAGCTCACACTGATTAAGCCTTAGAGTGAGGTTCCCAACCCAGTCTACCTGGCTTGAGACCTATGTTCCTAATTGCTACACTGTGCTGTCTTTTACCAATACTGCTTTTTCTGAGACAAGAGGGAATAAAATTAAAAAGAAAGTATCTCAGTAGCAGATATCTATGTCCCAGAAGAGCAAAAGTGATCTCAAAAAGTAACTGCCAAAAGTAAAGAGTTTTATAGGTACTGATTTGGTGGTCAGCAATACACAGGCTGTACAGATTAAGAACAACCTATAATTAGTTTAGGAAATACCAACTTTAGTGAATGTACTGCTTCTTAAAACTGTATATGCATTATCTCATACATGCCTTTCAGCAAAACCCTCCAGGGAAGTACTCCAAGAGTTGACAAAAGAATAATCAGGGTCACCAGATTAAGTAGCATGGGTAACAGTACATATTACTTGACACTTTCAACATTATCTCTGTCCTTAAAGAATTTCTGGTTTAATAACATTAAATTTAAATAATGATGATTATAAGCACAAAGGAAATCTGCAGCCCAGAGCAGAAAGAGTTGCTTAGGGTAAATTTTCTACTACTGCCCAGACCTCAGCTAATTCTTTACATATAAGTAGTAGCTGATCTAGTCAAATCACTTTCTAAGAACACGACTCCCAGTATTCTGCTCTGTACTCTAAGTTTACTATGTTAATGAAGATTATATAACAGGAACGACAACTTGCTGACATTTCCTACATCAATTTCAGCAAAACTGATCTGTTATTTTTCTATCTTACATCCTAAATGAAGACTCTCTTGATTCCTAGTGCAATATACTATACCTAAAAAATACAAGGTGACTGAATAAATGGTTATATATTGACACTACAAAAGGGTAATCAATAAATTTCAATGCCAAACTTTTTCTCACTGTTCCAAATGGCACAATGGTAGGTTAATCTAGCTAAATTATCTCCCATCGCAGTGCTGTCCAGTAGAAAATACAATGCAAATCCTGTATGCAATAAAAAAATCTTCTAATACCTCCATTTTAAAATGTACAAAGAAACAGGTAAAATTACTCTAAATATATTGTTTCCAACGTATTACCCCTTTTACAATAGGTAATCACTATAAAAATTAACAAGATATTTTAAATTCTTTTTTCTATATGATGATGCATTGATTTGTGCCCATAGACAATACAGAGGGACAACTATGAGAAGACACATAGAGAGGGAAGCATTCTGCAAACCAAGCAAGGAGAGGCTTCTGAAGAAACCAAATGTATTGTCACCTTGATCTCACATTTCTGAACCCTAAATTACAAGAAAATAAATTTATTTTGTTTAAATCACTTATTGTATGGTATTTTGTAAAAATAACCCTGTTGACCCAGGTCACTGGTGTGTTTTTCACATGTAGAGGACCCTCTCAATTTGGAAAAACCTTATCTTATAGGCTTAGTAACCACATATGGCAATGCCTACCATATAGGAAACTGTAGCCGGGCATGGTGGTGCACACCTGTAATCCTCACACTCGGGAGGCTGAGGCAGGAGGATCATTGCAAGTTCAAGACCAGCCTAGGCTACAAAGTGAGCTCAAGGACAGCCTGAACTGCATAGCGAGACCCTGTCTCAAAAAGACAAAAAGAAAAAAAAAAAAAGGAAACTATAGCTCTAGAAAACAGACTTTCATGAAAATGTATAAGAGACATACAGTACAGCTCTCGTAACTGCAAAAATTTCTTTGTACACAAATGTAAATAGAAATTCAATAAATATACTTTATCTCAAGTTAAAACTTCAAACATCCTAAAAGCAAAGCTATGCTACTTTCCTAGCTCAAGGCTTAAATAAGCACAACTCAACTTTCAGAAATACCTATCAGGGCCATTATAGTCTCGCCCTTCTTTGCAACGACATCTTCGTACATCACAATGTTCATAGGGCTCCAAAAGCTCTTGATAAGCATTTTCCTCTAATTCCCAAGATGCATCTCTATAAATGAAACAAGATATGAAACTCACTTTGATTTACGTTACATAAAAGCATTGTTAATGAATCTAAAAATAAAAACCTTTCACCTACTTAGGAGTAAGTATAAACCATCCTTTTTTGGTATGTTCTCTTTATCCAGTACATACTTAGGAACAAAAATAAAATTTTCCTTTTTAAGATACTCTTAATATAAACTCCAATATGTCATATTATCCTCCAATATGTCATTTTATCTCACAGTAAATTTTTAAATGCTAAATGAAATATTAAGCAAATTTTCTAAAACTTACATATTTCTAACATTTCACTCCTAATTTTTAATCTCAAGTTTAGTATCACTGCCTCTGGATTCTTCACCTTGAAGTATTAAGAAAATTCTTCTCATTCATTTTAAACCCATCTTGATTCCCCTAATTTATAAACACCATTTTAAAGGTGATTACAGTTGTCAATCAAAACTGAACACCACTGAGGTACTTATTAAGACAGTCTATCAGTGATGGCAAACCTTTCAGTGCTCTCAATGATACCGAACAGCCCTCTGTAGCATGCATGCCACATGTTTGCCAACACTGCTATCTAAAGCAATGAACGAGACATTTATGAAACAGTCTCTGCTTTCTGTGAACTAGAGATCTGGAAAGAAGGCTTACATTTCACCATTTGAAATGGCTAAACGTCCACTGATAACTTAATCTGGCATAAGTGATTATTTCTGTTATTAAACCCTGTAAAGTATCTTTTTTCTGGTTGAAATGCTAAATATTACTCACTTTTCAGGAATATGAATTCCCATTCTCAACATCTCTTTCTGAAAGATGTCACTATTATTGCATATTGTACACCTAAAGAAAAATACTCCTGCATTTATTGCTTGAACCTACAGTGGAAAATGGAAAATCTATTGTTAAAAACTCAAGTCTATCATCAAGTTATGAATTATATAACTAACAGAACATGTGCTTTTTTTACTTTATATGTTATGAAAACATTTTCTAACATCCATGGTTCTCAAATCTTATAAACCAACTTACTCCACTAACATCTGGAAAGCTTTTTATCCCATGGTTAAAAAAAAAAATCTAATGATTAGACAACTATCCCCTGTATTAGGTATGATAATACCTAATACCTCAACCTCTGATACCTAAAGTACTTTTAGTTTCTAAATTTATCTTCCATACTATGTTATTTTCCATACTATGAGAAAAGCGTGAAAATTGGCAGCTACTTCATCAAGAAAAGATACGTAATTGTTAAAATCATTTCTGGGTGTTTTTAACTTAATCTGACTTTTCTTCCCAAAAGGAAAGAAACAGAAAACCTGTTCTCAATGGTATAGTAAACACAAAAAAAGAGGCTGCAGGCAGAGGGTGCTCAGAAAGAAACAAGAAACTAAAACCTGACAAGAAAAAGTAGCCAGTCTCAAAACTACAAAAAAAAACCACAAAAGAATAAACTAGTAGCACAGATTTATTTAAAAATATTTTAACCCTTTTATGGCTGTGTCTCGATGTCCCCTCAAAGCCTCACGTGGTCATAGGTGGGCTTTTCAGAGGTGGCTAGATCTAGGGTTTGTGTTGCTGGGATCAAGGACATTATGCTGGGATTGATTCACGGTGTGATGCTAGGATTAAGGGTGTGAGTACTACCCGAGAGCAGCCTGTGTAAGATATAAGATGTAGAAAGAGCTGTCATCGTGACTTGTTGCTTGCCGCTTGATATTTTTGCCACTTTCTGCCTGCCACAAACTGTTTCTCCTCTGTGATTCCCCTCCGTCTTGGACCAGGCCAATTATGGACTGAAACCTCTACAAACTGTGAGCCAAAATAAACCTTTCCTCTAACTGTGGGTGTCAGGTATTTTGGCTCAGCAATAAGAAAATGATACTATCTAACACAAACAGAAATATCAAATGTTTTAGATTCAACTCCAAGGGATTCTAGTGAGGAGGCAATCTAATTACTACAATATTATATAACAATGTGTGGTGGATTGACAACTGGCAGTCAACTTGTAACACCCACTTGAATTGAATTAGTGTAGTGCTGGAGCCCATATAAGCGTTGTTGCCGGGAGCATAAAAAGAACTGGAGAGCAAGAAGTGGTACTGTTGGTTCTCCTGTAGGAGCTTGTTATGCTGGCTTTCCTGGTATGAACTTGGTTGTTCTCACTGCTGAAGGAGCTTGGGACCTTGTTGCTGAAAATGGCTATGGTTAACTTTGGGGGAGTTCTGGTCCTTACTTTGAGCATCACTTCCTGGCTCTGGTGGGGAAGATGGTGCACTGTTCAATGTCTTAGAGAAGCTTGTTGTGTTCGTTTTCCTCACATGAACTTGGCTGTTCTCAGCGCTGGAGGAGTTCAGGACCTCACTGTTGCTGATAATGCTATAGTACCTTTTGGGGGAGCTCTGGTCCTTACCTTAAGCATTGCTTCTTGGCTCCAGTGCAGATTCCTCAGCCTGCTGGCACAGATTCTTTATCTGCAGGCACAGACTTCCTAGCTTCCACCACTGACATGGGGGCCTTCCCAGTGTAGATCCATGAAACAGGCTTGCATGAGACATTGTCATGGGTTCTTAGCCTCATGGGGGGCATTGCAAATGGGCACTGAGATGGGCTCTAGGTACTCAGCTGGACTCAGGCAGGACACTGCCATGGAATCCAGGCCCTCAGCTGGATTCTATGGGTCTTTAGCGTGTGCACAAATTTCCCGCATTTTTTTTTCCTGCATTCTTTTATATTTGCCTCTTTGGGTGACTATTATAAAATAATCCTATAAATTATGTGTCCTGTATTAAATTTTTTCCTTTGCAAACCCTGACAATGCTTTGTTTTAAAGTTACATACAGTGAAAAAAGAGGAAAAAGTTCCTATTCTATAATGACAGAATATCAGAAGGGTACTGAGGCCAAAGCTAAGCTTAGAGGAAGAAATAAAGGTTTGCTAGGAAAATTAAGACCAAAGACCTTCCAAAGATTGCATACTGTAGTCTCCACAGCAAGAAAAGAGAACATGTGATTAGGCAACTACAGTTAGTAATATATCTAGGGATTATACTCTGGCCAAAATGAACTAAACAATGAGCTTAAACAGGTAAACCAAAAGAGAAAAAAGCCAATGTGAAGAAAACAGTACATAAAGAGGATTTCCAGTTCAGGCAAGTGGTAACTGGTACACACATACACATTCCAGCACATGTGTGCGAGAGCACACCCATACTCACACAGCATATGGGACAGAAAGAATAAAGTTACTGAAATCTCTGAAACTAAAGGAGCTTTGAGCACCTCAGACAGATGCTGAGATGTTACTAAATACAAGAAATGGTAGAAGGGAGTATCTGATATAGAGGAAAAAACCAGCGTAGGACAGAAGAAGATAGCAAGAAGATCACAGCAACAATAGAAAAATCCAAACAGAAGATTAGTACTAATTCTCCAGATAGAGTGCAAATTTCTTAACAAATTCATTTGTTTCTAATTTCTATTCTTTTTTCACCAAAAAAAAAAAAAAAAAACATTTGTCTAACCACCTATAGCTATCTGGACTGGGCAGACTACTAGTAATATTTCAGTTAAGATTCTGGCACCAAAGTAAAAAGCTACTTGGAGACCCTTTAAAGAAAGTGACTCAAGAAGTAGTCCTCTCGGGGCTGGGGATTTAGCTCAGCAGCAAAAGCGCCTGCCTGGTAAGCGCAAGGTCATGAGTTCAGTTCCCGGTATCGGACAAAAACCAAAAAACCAAAAAAAAAAAAAGAAGTAGTCCTCTCACAGTCTGCTCTAATCAAATAATTTACTTCTTGATATTTTATCACAAACAAGTGTTCAAATTGCTAAATTAATTTGCATAAAGTAAACATTTTTTAAAATTAGAGAATGAACCAAGAGCTTACCACTGAGATATAGCTCCAGCACTTTTTTATAACATTATTTGAGATAGGTCCTCCCTAGGTTGCCCAAGTTGGCCTTAAACTTGAGATCTTCCTGCCTCTGCCTCCCAAACCACTGGGATTATAAGCATGCACCACCATACCTGGCAGCTCTACCATTTTGTTTGAAATATATTTGTAATTTGTAATAATTAAAACAGTATTTTCAGTGTTCACCAAAAAAGTATTAACAGATAAGTAATGCAAATCTTACTTGTCCCGAGAAGTAATATTTTATTACAAAATTAACAAGTGATACATTTGGAAGTGATTACATTGATTCAAATACAAACCTTAAATTAAGAAATTAATCTTTTTAAAGATTCTTACACAATGTGAACTTATTCCTCAACAGGTAAGGACAACACTTTATGATGTTTATTAAATGTAGTCTCTTGGGTCCATTTATATGTATTTCTCTGTAAGAATTAACGGAAATTCTAACATTCTCCCACCAAAATAGACTCCAATCTTTCACTTTTACCTGAGTAAATCCTAAATACGAAAGTCCAAAATCCATACAAAAAAGAGTAATCAACCAAGATTAACTACTTTGACAGGTAATACTTTTAGGATTTTACTGAAATAGAAAACAATTTACAACTAACTTAAAAAAAAGTAAACAATTTTCAATCAGTAATAACATTTCATTTTAATAAATAAAATCTAAGCTTAAAAAATTAAGCATATCTTTGTCTAATAGGTACCACTTTAATACACGTATATTACATATTTGATATTAATATTTGACATTTTTAATAGCTGGCATCTTTTTAAGATATTCAAGAATTTTCCAAATCAAACAGTAAATTATGTTTAGCGTGTGTGTGTGTGTGTGTGTGTGTGTGTGTGTGTGTGTGTGTGTTTTCAGTGCTGGGATCGAATCTATGTCCTTAAGCAAATATCACCACTGAGCTATTGATTCTTGGTCCTAGGCCAGGTTGTGTGTTTTATGATAGTCTATTGGACTGAAAACTGGTCACCAAGTTTGATATACAAAATGTCTCAAAGAACCAAACTTTTAATATTTTTTGATAATAACCAGCTCCTTATCAAGAAGTTATGATAAATTTTTGCAAAATTATGAAAAGACTTGACATTTCTTAATATCAAGCTTATTATCATTTCCTTTTTTCTAGCTTAAATAAATAAACAGAATTTAAAATTAAAATTTCTGTGTTATTCATTGTGAAATACAAAATTCTTAGGTAAAAACAGTTTTATAAGCATAAATATTACACTGGGAGGTAGCATCTATTTATTAAAATGCTAATTATATACTTAAATTGGGTAAATCTTACTGTAAAATATGTACTAAATAATGTACTATAGTTATTTTAACAGAAGAGCTAACATATACACCACTATTAATTTTTTTTTTTTTTTTTGGTGTTTTCTCCGGTACTGGGAACCGAACTCACGACCTTGCGCTTGCCAGGCAGGCGCTTTTGCCGCTGAGCTAAATTCCCAGCTCACGCCACTATTAATTTAAAATTCAAATTCAAACCAGCAATACATTTTATATCAAAGCTTATAAAATGTATCTTACCTGCACACAGTCTCTATGAAACCAAGCATTCTTACAACAAGGACTTCGTAATACACTATACGTAGGAACAGGTGCAATAAATTCCAAACAAATGGTGCATGGGACAGAGTCTCTGTAATTATTAGGTGTAATAATTTGAACAGGACGATGTTTCCAACAAAATGACCTAAAGATGTAAAACATTTAATAACAATATCTAATAAACTGCAAAATACAATTAGGTTAGCACTGTAATCGACATACTTAAGAGAAAATTCATTTGTATCTGTCTCATAATGTATAACAGACTAGAGCCTTGGCACTAGAAATTACTCTGCGATCAAGAACCAGCTCTTCAAAATGTAAACATTTTGGTGGTAAGACCTCACGTAAGATTTCAGCAACTAATATTGAAAATCGTACGTAACAGTACTAGCAACAGAGTATACATATCTAGTTTTCAACAACTGAATATATACTATTGTATTCAACACTGTATAAAATTAATCAACAATTTATACTTAAAAGTCTTTTAATCATATAAACCTGTTATACAAATAATAGCATATTCCTAAACCATTTTATTTTCATGTGCATTTTTTAATGATTATATTTACCTTATTCATTTAGCACATACTTACTTTAGTATCACGGTAAGAACACTTAACATGTATCCTCTTTGAGTATTTTCACATCTTTTTTTTTATTAATCCGTATTAGTTGTACATACAGATTAATGGGTTTCATTTTGCCTGGTTCATATATGCACACAACATACTTTGATCATTTCCACTCCATCACGCTCCTTACCCCACCCTCCCCCAAGTCTCACATTTCTGGAGAGGGTTTCAATGTATGTAACATATTATGGTTGTGTCCACACATCTTTTATTCCCTTCCTCTCCTCTATTATTAATCTATTTTGTCATTTCTTCTTTATGATTCCACATATTAGAGAAAATAGCAGTATTTGTCTAAGTCTGGCTTATTTTGCTCAACATACTTATCTCCAAATCCATCCATTTTTCAGCAAATGACAGAATTTTGTTCTTTATGGATAAATACTACTGTACACTTTATTCATTCATCTGTTGATGAGCACCTATGCTGGATCCACATCTTGGCTACTGTGGACTGTGCCACAATATACCAAAGAATGATATAAGTGGATATGATAACTCTATTTTTAATTTTTTGAGGAACCTCCATGCTGATTTCCATTGTATTAATTTACATTTTCTAATCTGTAGTATTTTTACATAGTTAACAAACCACTAGTTAAATCAAAATATAAGGACTTAAAGAAATGGAACATTCACTGACATCAAATGCCAAAATTCATGTCTGAAGCCATACTCAGAAAGTGAATGTTTTCAAGGTATTCCCTGGTGTATATTATGGCTTGTGTCTAGACGTCCCCACAAAGCCTCATGCTGTCATAGGTGGAGGTATACAGAAGTTGCTAGATCTACAGTGTGTGACGCTGGGATGAAATGTATGATGCTGGAATTAAGGGTGTGAGATTACTAAATCAGCCCACTGATTGTTTTGGCATAGTTCTGGGTGTGGATAATGGGAAGGACTATCCCGGGCCGATTATGGACTGAAACCTCTACAAATTATGAACCTAAATAAACTGTTCTTCCTTTAACTTTGTGTGCCAGGTATTTTGTCTCAGTAATGAAAAAAAGTAACTAACACAGTTAAATAAAGTATTTATTTTTTGCACTCAAGCAAATTTATATGCCTTCAGTAAGAAGTATATATGGCTCCAAGAAAGGAAAGCAGACTATCAATTCTTAACAATGACATAAAAATCTAGAATAGTGTGCGGTAGAAATTTTCACTGAAATAAATAAAAGTTGAGTGTTATTGCCCAAAGCTGAAAGTTGAAGGCTAATATGAATCACTAGGCCTATTCTAGATAGTGCAATTCTCAAGATTTAGTAGGCAGAAGTAACTCCATACAACAGGGATATATATAATATATAGCATGTATGTATCAACTCAGTAATGTAGGTACATAAACTCAGTGCAACATTAAAAAGTTATTTAACAGGGAAATTATATCCTTGGAATATCCATTTACCACTGTTCTTTAATATTCATATTTTACAGTAAAAAAAACTCACGCAAAATTGCCAGTAAACTGGAAAATACATTCTCTCTGAAGTCCACATGGAAAATGATAACTTCGTTTACATCGAGGTGCTACACATCCAATTGAAGCACCGTTTTTCTTGCAAACAGAGCATTTCTAGAAGAAAGTATGAAAATAGGGCCACATCATAAAAAACGTGACTATATATGATCAAGGTATTATTAAGTTTTACTTGGAGGAAATTGAAAATTATTTCCATCGTAATAGTTGTGATGACAATACATTGAAGAAATTTCCTAAAACACTATTCTACCCAGAAAGAACCTAAGGCCTCAAGATTCATTACTGTAAGAAGCCCCTTTTCATTCCTATCTGCTACAACATTTTAAACTGAAGAATGTATGCACACAGTAGCTACACATGAAAACTGCACTTCAATCTAAATAGAAAGCACAAAATTTAGGAAATATTCACCAAGAACAGGAAAACAATACTAAAAACCAATTTGTATAAAACTGGCTAAGATGGCTCTATCTCATCAAAGGAAAAACTGTTAAAATACTCATAGTGGGTTGAACAGTGTTCTTATAAAACACATGTTCAAGTCCTAACTCTTAGTACATGGGATTCTTACTTAGAAATAGGGTCTTTACAGATAAAATTAAGCATTTTATGATGGGATCATTCTGGATTTAGGGTTGGCCTTAAATCAAATGACTGGTGTCTTTTAAAAAGAAAGGAGAGGCAGATTTCAGACACACAGAAAGGCCACGTGAAGATGGAAGCAGAGACTGCAGCTATGCTACCATAAACCAAGGACACCAAAGGCTGCCAACAGCTACAAGAAACTAGAAGAGGAGCACAGAATAAATTCTACCTCAGACCCTCTCTAAGAAATCAACCCTTCTGACAACCTGAGCTAGAATTCTGGCTTCTAGTACAGGAAGAATAAATTTCTGTGATTTGTAATGAGAGACCTAGGGAACAAATACTGTAACACTGCCAAGCACTGAAACGTAACAGTGGTACATAAACAAAAAAACTATCAGTCAATCATTAGAAAAATATAGGATGTACCTAAAACACATTGGAACATTTAAATGGCCATTATAATGGTCACGGAGTCAGGATTACAGGTTTACTGCTAATGTCTCCACTACCACCCAAGTAACAGGAAAACCCTTGACCAATCTGAGACTCTCCCAGTGAGCTAACACAAAGGAATTCTAGTTTAATATAAAAAGAGGACTCTTCTTCAGAATCGAGATTGATGCTGACTCCTCACATGGTCTGTAAATTGGTCCTTAAATGGTTCTTTCAACCAAGGTTCTCCCTTGTGCCCTACAGCCTCTGTTTCATGAGCCTCAACTCTCATCCCCACTCAGCATTTTAAAAAAATAACTGCCTACACTTGTTTGCCTTACCTAAATAAAGGTTTTTACGTTTACTTTTTTGAGTGAAGCTTCTTGTTTTCACTTCCTCCTTAATTTCCAGATTTGGCACAAGATGAGAGGAGGACATACACGGGGGCATGAAGGGGAACAAACAGTATTATTGTAGTCCTCTGTTGAAATTTTAGGCCATGATTCTATCTTTTTAAAAATATGTATCTTTATACTTTAAAAAAATTCTAATCATTTAATGACATTTATTCTATTATCTAGTAACCACTTAATCAATCTTCTACCTCAGGACTTTAGCACTTGAATCACAAGCTTTCTCTATGTTTTAATTCTTGCTATCATTCTTAACAACCCCAGCACTTATAAAACAACTTTTCTGACTTTCTCAAGTATAACTTGCCATTTTACCTCCACTCAGTAAAGCGATGAATTCCCTCATCAACCAAATTATTCCACCACAGAGATCAATTCTAGTATCATATTCTCTAATCAGAATTCCCTATACTTTCAATTTTCTTATTCTCTATCGCTATTTCTACTCAGACCATATGGAGACCTACAGTCCTTTCCTTGTAGTACCTAGCACATAAATCAATCATATAGAAAATCATAAAAAAACTGAATTAACAAGGGATTAAAGTTTAGCATATCTAGCACGGAGAACAGGAGAGCACTAAACACAAGTAGAAAATGTCACAGAACAGCCGTGTTATAGAAATCATAAAATCACACTTGTGTAATTTCTATCCCAACCTATCACCCAACCTTAGCAATCAAGGTATAAGAATTCTTTACAGTTTGCTAATTAAAGGAGTGGAACTATGGTTGGAATTTAAGACTGGGTAAAATAGTGGATAGGATAAATAAAATACAGTAATCACTACTGTCACATGTATTATCCAGGGTGAGTTAAGCTCTCATTTGCAAAAAAAAATACAAAATGTTGTTCTAAAACTTACCATATTTGACAAAAATATACATTAGAACATAAAAGTAGAGCCATAAATTTCTTGTACAGACACTAGAAGAGACTTCTCAAGTACTGACAATATCTATGGGACATAGTATAATGAGCAAAATAATTTACTTACCAGTTTAGAAGCTCTATTCACTTCCTTCCTGATGTCTTCTACTAGAAAACCATACATTCCTTCTTCTTCTTTACCTCTCTGCCAAATTCCACTTGACATCAACTATGAATATATTCTCAATTAGAAAATAAATTCTAAGAAACTAGCTTGGGTGTACGTATACATATGTGTGTGTGTGTGTGTATATATACATATATATATATAGTGTATGTGTGTGTGTGTATATATACATATATATATATAGTGTGTGTGTGTGTGTGTATATATATATACACACATATACACATAATATTCACCCATAATATTCACTCCAATAAAACTTAAATTTCCAAGCAGCTTTCTGTAATCATTTTCCATGGTCAAAATAAGCAACTATTCATGTCCTTTGATTCAGAAAACACTTTATATTAACAGCTCATATATCCAAACTAGATTCTAAAAGCATTCCAGGAAGTTACATAAAAAGAGAAAGAAGACAGGAAGGTAGTACATAAATGACTGGGAAGGAGGAAAAAAAGAAATACATAAGATTAAGTTTTACAAAAAAGGATAGTAAATACAGATGACTATGAATGTAATAACAATAAATACTACTTTAGGCTAACTTTAAATCTAAATTCTCAATCATGATAGGAATAGTTAAAGGGACACCTACTGAGTCACAGTAAGTGTTTGACTTTTATAAAAATCTCACTTTAACTTAATAGTTGAAAGATGCTAAGGCAAAAATGTATTAAGAAAGTGTGGACTATAAATAAGAAATCCAACTTGCAAACAGGTGTCTACTCTTCTGGAACCCTAAACAAGCTATTACGTCACGGACCTCAAACATGAAAATAAGAATATTGGAGCAGACTGTCTCTAAGTCTCTTTCAGCTCTAGCATTATACTACCATTTGTAACATTAAAATATTTTCCTGTTGTTCATAATAAACAGAACCTTAAAAAGGAGAGAGTCTGGGGTCAGTACTTTTTTTTTAAGGATTATGCTCATTAATAAAATAAGAGAGTATTAAAGAATTTCTAGCTCAGTCTACCAGTATATTTAACCCACAGAGCACCTGAGACAGCCGCAAAGGAATACTTTAGACAGTTTCTTAAGTAAGCAATTGAAAACTTAACATGGATGGTAGTGAGCTTCAAAATATCTTCAAAAATGTGTTCTTCCTTTAGAGGTGGCTTGAACCCTCCCCTTGAAGTGTATGCTGGTCTTCACTTGCCTCTAACAAAATAAAGCACAAGTGAGGGTGGTATGTGGCTCTGAGGACTAGGTCATAGATTCGCCCTCTCTTGTCACTTGCTTTTGGGAAAGCCAGCTAACATACTCCAAGACCTAGAAGGTAAAAGAGTTGAGGCCCCTTGCCAACTGGTAGGAGGAACTGTAGCCAAAAAACATGAGTGAGCCTTTGGAGAACGATCCTCCAAGTCTAGGAAAGCTTTCAGATGTGTTGACATCTTAACTATGTCATGAGCGACTCTGAGCCAGAACCATCTAGTGTAGCTAAAATTCAGAACTGAGACCCTAAGAAATTATGTGAGATAATAAACATTAGTTTAACCTACTCATTTCAGAATAATTTGTTGAGCAGAAACAGGTAACTAATTCAGTACAAACAGTGTGGGTATTAGTACAATCTTGGTATGCTACGATACTAATACTGCCACTATTAAGCCACAGATTCAAGTGGAATGAAAAGTTCTTAACAGGAAGAGGAAACAAATGAGGGACTGATGCTCAGGACCAAATCACTTTCATCTGAGTGACCCGTACTTTAACCTGATTTTTTTCCACTAATATGAATTTTAGCCAGAAATTTCTCCTCCTGATTTTCTGTGAAATAAGACACTTTCTTTTACTTCTGAACCTTTAAACAAGTCTTTGCAGAGATCAATCAGTAACAACAAAGGAAAGAAAAAAGTGTTAAAAGAACACTTCCCTTATAGAACCAGTTTAGACAACCCCTCTTTCTTTGCAATTAGACAAAAGTAAACAGGTAATGCCAGTAGAGCTTTGTATTTACCAAGTAATTTTAGAACCTTAGAATTAGATATACCAAAAAAATCTAATTTTCTACAGAAAGGTGAAACAAAATCCAAAAATGTTAAATGATTTATCCAATTATGAGAAACCAGTGTCAGTATCTAATTCTCTTTAGAGAATCAAATTTCTAGGAGATAATTACAAATTATACTTACCAAACAATAGTAATGTACAGTGAGATTCCATTTCTCATTAGTTTTCTTTTCTCCATATTTATTAGCACAGTCATCATTTTTTCGACAGAAAACACAAGCTACGAGTAAAAGGTAGATATAAAATATATTTTAAAATTTCAAAATAATTATGTAATTGGTGCTTTTCAATTGATTATTAATTTTTTCTGGAAGAGCAAATCACATTTGATTGTTATCAGTAATTTAAAACTTTCAATACCTATTTCTAACACTACATTAATGTGACTTTGTATTCTTCACCAGTCTTCAGAGATACATACCAACGCACGGCTAAAATGGGCAAGATGTAGGGTAACATTACTAAAAACAATGAATTAGGAGACTCCAAAACTGCATTCTACTAAAACAATGATAGTGCTGCCAAAACACAGAATCAACTTTTTATGTGTGTGTGTTTTTTTGTTTTTCTTCCGGTACTGGGAATCGAACTCATGACCTTGTGCTTGCCAGGCAGGTGCTATGCCGCTGAGCTAAATAAATCCCCAGCCGCAGAATCAACTTTTTAGAAGCTCTGGAATGTAATGAACTTTAAAAAAAATTTTTTTTAAAGTAAGAAAATGCTTAATGGAGAAATAAGCTGTTAAATTCTCATGAGAATATTTTAACTTAAGCACCTACTACTGCTTACTCACAAGCTTAGCAGTGGCCCTGGGTAAACCATGTTCCTTGTACAGACTCTGGTCCAAGAGGAGATATATATAGTGCTTATTGCCAAAAACTTGATTAAATGTTTCAATTTGCAACAGCACCCTGAGGGGTTGGTTCATAGACCTTTGTTTTACTTTTTTTTATAAAGAGTTTCGCTGTGTAGTTCAGGCGGGCCATGGGTTCACTATGTAACCCAGGCTGGCCTCAAACTTGCAGCGATTCTCCTGCCTCTGCCTCCCAAGTGCTGGGATTACAGACATGCACCACCACACCTGCATATGCTTTTGTTCTGCCTGTCTGGGAACTCTTTCAGGGTTGAAGCAAATGTATGAGGTGCAACAGCCTAGGGCAAAGGACAACAGATAGCTTCAAGTAGCTGAAAGAATAAGCACAGGAAACAAAAGCTGGAAGAAAGTGATACATGGTAAAGGAAATATGCACTTTGAAAAAAATCCCACATATACTAAGGAATCCAGAAGGCCACACACATGCCTGTGGATATACGCATGCCTAGAAAAGACCGAGAAGCCCTAAACTTTTACCTCTAACTAACCGTTAGGTTTATGTAAGAGTATATTAAAAGAAGATCTTATAACCTAATTTTACATCTTAAGGAATTAGAGAAAAGAAGGAAACTATACCCAAAGTTAGCAAAAGCAAAGAAGAAAAGATCTGAACATATAGATAAATAAAACAGAGAGTATCAATAAAAACAAAAACTGGTTCTGTGAAAACATAACAATCTATAAATTTTATCTAGATTGAGAAAAAGACTAAAAACTTAGAATAAGACTACAGTGATCAAAACAATGTGGCACAGGGACACATAAATCAATACAAAAGAAGGATCTAGAAATAAAATTTTACGTCTATAGTCAATTTATTTTTGACAAGACTAGCAATGGGGAAAGAAGTATCTTCAGAAAATAGTGCTGGGACAACTGAGTAACAAAAATAAAACTGACCCTCTATCTCATACCACCATCTATAGATTAACACAGATAAACAACCTAAATGTAAAACTATGAAACTCTTAGAAGAACGAACAAGGGTAAATCTTCATGACCTTAGCTTTATCAATAGTTCATTACAATTCACATGACACGAAAGTAAAAGTACCAAAACAAAAAAACAGAAAAACCAGACTTCAAACTTACACTCTAAAATGCTAGAAAATATCCGGAAATTACATTTCTGATAAAGGTCTAGTGTCCAAATTGCATAAGACACTCTTACATCTCAATAACAAAAACACGAAACAACCTATTGTGATGGGCAAAGAATCTTGCTATCTTTCATTTCTCCAAAGATGATATACAAAAGCCACTAAGGACATTAAAAGATGCTCAATATCACTGGTCAGAGTCAATAAAGATTTGCAAATCAAATCCACAAGGTAACTACTTTACACCCCTAAGAATAATACAGTTCCGTAAGACACAGCAATTCCCTCCCAGGACATATAAACCAAAAACTGGAAACAGATGTTCAAGCAAATACTTGTACATTAATGTTCACAGTAACACTTATCACAAGCAGTAAAATGCAAACAAATCAAAACTCATGAAATAAAATATGGTACAATAAAATATTATAAAATCTGTACAATAAAGTATTATTTAGCTATAAAAAAGGATAAGGTACTAATATATGCAAAAACACAGATATGCCACAAAACATTATGCTAAGTGAAAGAAATCAAGATCATATATTATGTGCTACCATTTCCAGAACAGAGGGCTGGGGATTTAGCTCAGTGGCAAAGCACCTGCCTGGCCAAGTGCAAGGTCGTGAGTTTGGTTCCTGGTACCGGAGAAAAAAAAACAAAAAACCAAAAAAACCCAGAACAGTTAGATCTTCTGAGACAGACAAAAAGCAGATTACTGGTTGCCAAGAGTTGGGGACAGGAAAAATGAGAAGCAATCACCTAATGAGTACAGTTTCCTTTGGGATGATAACCGTGTTTAAAAAACAAAGCAGCAGTGAAGGTTTCACAACACTGAATTATACACTCAAAAGTAGTCAAAACGGTAAATTTTGTTATGTGTGTTTTAATACACATACATACACAAAGATATCTGGAGTTGTGAGGTAGGATTTTGCTCCATAATCTTTTTGTAGTTTTTCCCATTTACATATGTACAATATGTAACAATGTTTTGAAATAATGCCTACTTTACAGAATGGCTATCAAATGCATTAATTCATTTGTTCACTATACATTTGTGGAGAGAACACTTAGAACAGATTTTCTGAACTTACTCCCTTTTCTAACTTAAATTTTGTATCCTTTGACAAGCATCTTGCCAATTTCTATCTTGCCCCTAACCCTAGTTCCTATTCTAACCACCATTCTATTTTCTATTTTGGTGAATTCTACTTTTTTAGATTCCACATCTAAGTGCGATCATATAACATTACCTTTGTATGGCTGGTTTATTTCACTAGTGTTTTGGGACTCCATTTCTTCAACTTAAACATGAGGACAACAATAGTATATATCTCAAGCTAGGCCTTAAGGAAGATTAAATGACAATACACATTAATATAATTAACGGCGTGATGCACAGAAGTGAGCAAGACTTAGTATTACAGTTACTAATCTTTCCTGTCCTGTTTTTCTCATGTCATATGTGATTTACAAAATTTTATTAACATGCTAATGAAACAAGTAAACTATTACTAGCTAAAGCAAAAAGATTTTGAGCACCTCAGGGCAACAGATCCATACAAGATGGAGGGCACACGAACCTCAGAATGACTTCATGAAGCAAAAACTCCATAGGCCTCATCCTCCCTAATCAATCCACACTGGAGTACCAAACTTTTATTGTGTTAAACCATATGACTTCAGAGTTGACCCCTTACAGCAATGAGTGGTATTTAACTTTATGAATACATATAATGACGAATGATGTTATATGCTGAAAAGAACTGTATTTATTAACATGCTGCTCACAAAACAGATTCCAGAACTGGAAAAAAACAGTACAAGCTAATATTTATTACTGTGAAACATCCCTACTATATTGACTTCCCTTATTCCAGGTAAATGAGGTAAGTTATAACTTAAAGGCTTCCCTTAAACTTTTTTTTATTTTAAAGAGTAAGCAAAAACAGTAACAAAATAACAACAGAGACAAAAACAAAACAACACAAAACAATAAAAACAATAAAAACAATACAGAATTTCAAAACAAGATGATAGAAAATTAAGAATGGTTGTTATATTACATATTGTTACCTTCAACAAAGTTGTTCAGATTACCAGATGTAAGAATGCAAGATGGATCAAACAATTAAAGAGAAAAAAAATTTTAAAAGAACACTAGAAACGATAAAGAACTTCATTAAACAAGATGATAAGAATTCAACAATGGTTGTTATACCGCATATTGTCTTCAAATTAGTTGTTCAGATTACCAGATATAAGTATGCAAACTTGGTCAAGAAAAGAAATTTAAGCATTACTGTTCCTTTCAATAAACTAATAGGCATAAACAGTACAATTATCCCAGCTATCCTTGTATATACATATATTTCCCTTCTTTTCTCTTTTCCCTCATCCCAGTTGTTCCTTCTCTTTAAGCAATTTCTTTCTCTTTCACATTATCTACTATACCTTTCGAGTTTTATTTACTCTTTCAGGTTCTTACATTAGGAAGACAACACAATGTTTACACATGCAGGTCTGATTTATTTCACTTATGAGGATGGTCTCTAGTTGCATCCATTTACCTATACAAGCCTCAAGTTTATCTTTTTTTACAGCTGAGTAACACTCCACTGTATAAAAATACCACATCTTTTTTTATCCATTCCTCAGTTGATGGGCATTTGGGTTGTTTCCAAGATTTAGCTATGACAAACTGTGCTGCTATAAACATGGGTGCACATTTATCACTGTGGTATGATGTTTTAATTCTTCTGGGAAAAATACCCAGAAGGGGAATAGCTGGGTTAAGTGGTACTTCCAATCCTAGTTTTGTGAGGAATCTCCACACTGATTTCCACAGTAGTTTCACCAGTCTACACTCCCATCAGATCGCCTAAACTTATGAAAGATTTTAGCTTCCCTTCTTTCTCCATGCAAAGGGCCTATTCAAATATATTAACACTAGCAAGCTGTCATTTGTTCATATTGGACATCTCATACCAGCAGTTTTCACTTTAACTCCTTTATCTCCAGTGCCTATAATTTTAGCTGTAAGCATGTAGGAAGTTTTCAAGAGAAAGAAAAACGCTGCTGAAAGAAACTGTCAATGAGCCTTTGGTTGACCAGTATTGCATGTCTATATCTGTTTTCATGAGAAGCCACTTTGAAGATATCAATATGTAATACAACCACCATTGTTAATTCCCTACCACTTTGTTTGTAACTCTGTATTGTCTGTATTGTGCTTGTGATATGTTGTAAAATGCTGTATGTCTGTTAATGTTTCCCTCCTTTTATCTTTAAAAAAAAAAAAAAAAAAAGACATGTGAAATAAAAGTGGCTTCCCACGGTAGAGTAAAAAAAAAAAAGAAAAACGCATAAAATTAGCAAAGACTACAGAAGGGGATCCTTGGGAATTAACTGAGACTATAGGAGGTCTGACAAACTCTGGATACAGGTTTATCTGTTATATGCTGTAGGCCTTCTGCTTTCCGTTTGCTTCCCTCTTACCCCAGTAAGGAGGGTTCTGGGTGTACAACACATTACCTTTCATCTGTGTATATTTAAATGTAGATTACTTTTGTATTTATTTGTACACTGCTTTTTTAAAAAAAATTTTTTTTAAATTCAATAAAATTCTTCTGACTTTGTTATGTTTATTAAGATCTCCTGTTATTGTAGTTAATGATCTTGGTTTTTTTGTTTTTGTCTTTTTGGACCAGGGTCTCACTATGTAGTTCAGGTTGGCCTTGAAATCAATTTGTAAGCCAGGCTGGCCTCGAATTCCCAGTGATCCTCCTGCCTCAGCCTCCCAAGTGCTGGGATTACAGGCATGTGCCACGATGCCCAGCATTGATCTTGGTTTTGTAATGAAAGCTTCCATTTAAACACATTCATACAAGTGAAAACTGGAGTTCACCTTGGAAAAAACTAAGTAGGTAAAAGTAAGGGTGTATTTCTACTTGACAAATGTATGTAGGTACTACACAAATTACTAAAAATTAAGAACTACTAGCATGATCACCTGCCCAACTTCACAGAATTAGTAAGTGGGAATAGACTAGCCCACAGAGAAATGACTGCGGAGTATACTGTGATAATTTATTTGCAAACGATGAGAGTACTAAAAAAATTACAGAATATAATATTAACTATCAAGGCAAAAACTAAATCCACACATAATGATTATAGTATATCATCTGACCTAAGATACTCGAAAATGTACATACTGTAAAATTTTAAAACTATTAGCATAGTTGATAGACATCTACAGATAGAAGAAAAGAAAGGAGGAGGTTTATAAGCAAATTTCCTTATCCAAAATGAGGTAGAACAAACTGATACTCTCTCAAAGTGATGGATGTAATACAGAATTTTAAGCCTAATATTTTTATTGGGAATTCTTTAAAATCTAAACAACTGGGTTACTGGCAGAAGAGTACAAATTAACAATTCAGATTCCTCATCTTTCATGGTAGCAAGAAAACAGACACTGCTAGTAATACAGAAAACAGTAACCATATACAAAGGTTAAAAAGACTGCATCTATTTGGAAATATTTTTGTGAAAACCTAAGAGGTAAAATAATCCTTTTCATGCCTAAGTACTGTTGTTATTTAAATTGTTCTCATTCGCATTTTTCATTTTGTAAGGAAAAGTGATGCAAAAAGATGAAAAGATTGCTGGGTGCAGTATGCTTGTAATCCCAAAACTTAGGAGGCTGAGGCAGGAAGACTGCTGTGAGTCTGAGGCCTGCCTGGGCTTTACAGTAAGTTTAAGACCAGCCTGAACTACATAGCAAGACCCTGTCTTAAAATAAAACAAGTGTTATGGTTTGTGTCTGGGTGTCCCCCCAAAGCCTCATGTGGTCATGGGGTAGGCTTTTAGAGTTTGATTGATTATGGATTTGAGAGCTACACCAACACCGGCCCTGGGGTGGATAGTCTGCATATGTAAGGGAGAGGAAAAGGCTGCTTGTAGGGGCCATTCCTCCCTTGTGTGCTTGTTACTTTTGCTGTGTTCTGCCACCATGAGCTGTAGCCCTCAGCCATGTGCCACTCTGCCTTATAACCTGCCAAGTATGGACTAAAACCTCTATAAACATTTAATATACTTTAGTACAAGAAACTCAGATGAACCAGGAAATTCATTCCTAGTGGATACGAAGCATTCTAAAAGAGTTTATTGACTTTTCAATATTTTAAATAATTACTTACCAAGATTCTGTGAGACACCAGGTTTATTTTCATTCATTTTACTAGGAAAAAATAAAAATATATCAATTCATCCATCTTATTTTTAAAAGCCTCAAATAAACCATCTGAATTAAACTTATTCAATGTGTAACTGTAAATGGTTCAAGTAATCCTTTCTTACTCTACTATAGTAATTAATTTTCTCACCTTTCATACATGTAAGACCAATAGTTCTCAAGAGTGGTAGTCTGAGGACATTTTTAGAATTGGAAGGGATGTTTAATTATCAAAACATGTAATATGACCTTGACATTTACTAGAAAGGGGCCAGGATTCCCAATGCAAGAAAATTCTTCACAAGAATAGAGCAGACTTTTAAATTTTCAAGTGAATATTAAAGTAGGTTAAAAAAAATTACATTAACTTGAAACATTACATTACATTAACTTAGGACCAATGCTCCTCTTACATATAAACATCAAGTTGTTGTTCCTGCCATGTTAGGACAAGATGAGTATTTCTAAAATTGTAACTTCTACGTAAATCAAAGAACTTATATTTAACTTCTATGAAAAAATATCAGCAACATGAAAACAATTCCTTTTTAGTTTGTATTTGTAGCTATTGCACTTGAGGTATTCTAGATAGTGCTGTAAGCATCTCACTGCCTCACTACATTTTGTAGTAGTAGGGCTCAACCAATAAAGGTCATTGACCTGTCCCTATGTTCTCACCCAACACTAGTTACTTAATAAAATTACTTATAATCATTACTGAAATAGGTTTCTCTCCCCCTATAAAGTTCAAAGAGAGAAATAATGCAATCACATTTTATAACTGCACAACCAAGGTCAATAAACACCTTTTCCAGTTCACAGAGGTAGTGAGAATAGGCTAACCCACAGAACTGTGACTACAGAGTAACTGACGCCACTTCATAGGGAAATAGTAAGAGTACAAAAAAATTCTACAGAATATAGTATTATATATCTAGGCAGGACAAAAACCACAAATACAGATTATTAGCAAATCCTCTAACCTAACATACTACAAAATATAGGGTACATATTCACTTATGAATACTAACCCAATTAAATTGATATAATTCTCTTATATAACCTATAATTTGCATTTTACATTGCCTATAAGAACTGTTCAGATTTAAACATAGATATATCTCATACAATGCTTTTGGGCTCCCTATAAAGTTACAGACCAACTCTTCTGAATCACTTAAGACTCTAAGACTTCATCTTCTATGACATCAAGATTGTTATATCTTAAGAGAATCCATACAACTTTTAAAATAGGTGTTGCAATTAAGTAGGTCTACATTACCTTTTTCAGCCCCTCTTCACAAATATTACAGGAGGGTTAAAGGAGTATCCCTTTATTCCCTTGGTCGTCTTCTTTCCTTCTCCCCCTTTTCCTTTTTTATTTCATTCTGGCATTGATTATAGTAAGTAAATGATGGCACTTTTGATGTCTGTAAGATGCCATGTTCATACAATGGCTACAAACTGCCCTAACTGGTCAAACAGATTGAGAATTACAACCCATATACCTGATTTCAAACATATTAAAAGGAGTGTATATATGTGTGACAGGGGAAGAAGTCTATCTTAAAATTGATGAAATACAACAAACAGTAAAACAAAATCATTACAACTATTAGAGTATCATGCTTTGTGTCTAGATGGCTCCCCAAAGCCATGGTGGGGGGGATGCTTTTCAGAGGTGGCTGACTCTAGAGTTTGTCACTGATTCAGGGTCCAGTGCTGGGATTAAGGGTGTGAGTGCTACACCACCCTAGAGTAGGTAGCCTGCATACAATATAAAGGACAGAAAGAGGCTTCCCCCTTTCTTCCTTTGTTGCTTTTGCTGTCTTCTACAGTCATGAATGGTTGGCCCTCCCCCATGTGCCACCCTGCCTTGGAGCAAGCAGAGTATGGACTGAAACCTCTACAGATGGTGAGCTAAATAAATCTTTTCTTTTTTAACTTTAGGTATTGGGGTATTTTGTCTCAGCAATGAGAAAAGTAAAGAAGACATGGGGCTTGTCTATAATTCAACCTATGATGATGAATTCAGTATAGTACCTCATAAACGAATGTATAAAATTCAATTTGCAGTGCATGATAAATAGTATCTATAATACTTAAGAATAAATGTGAACTTTTACATTTACAGTTTTTCATTCAGTATCCAAATACAGATTTAGCCAGATGTGGTGGCACACACCTGTAATCCCAGCACTCAGGAGGCTGAGGTAGACGGATTGTTCCAAGTTCAAGGCCGGCCTGTGCTACAAACTGAGTTCAAGGCCAGTCTGAACTGCATAGTGAGATCCTGTCTCAAAAACAAAACAAAACAAAACAAATACTTATTTACATTTGTGATCCCATCCCTCCAGCTCGTAATTCCTTTTCTTTCCCCCCCTTGGGTGAATTGTAGCTATTTATTGTTTACTTTTAGATTTACTAATATACAAATAAACAACTGAGTGTGATGTAATGTAGTCAACTCTAGCAAAATGGTAAAATCCCCGTATCACTCAGCATAGTGCAAATAAACATTTGCTGAATGAGGGCAACACAAGTAGGCTTTGTCTTGAGCCTATCAAAACACCACTTTCTTTAAATTTCATCTAAATGAGCCCCTTCTCCAAAATCCTGCAAGAGCTCTATTTTATCTTTTGTTTGGTGAAAAGCCCTGTGGTTCCTCTGGTTTATAATTTCACTGTACAGTCAAGAAACCTAACTTCACTAGACTACAGGTTTCACCCCAATGGCTATAAGCAATGGGGCAAGTCAAAGAATAAAGCAAATGGCAGAAAATAATTGGTAAAGCCAGACAAGGTTATAGGGGAGTTCTTATGCTACTTTGAGGCCCTTTTCTAAATGTAAAATTTTAACATTTAACAATTAAGATACCCAAAAGCTGAATAGACTGGTCTGAAAATACTGTATATTGCATACTTTTGACCAGCTGACATTAGCCTTTTTCCCAATTCCCAGCATCTGAAATAAACTTTTTATTCTGACTGAGCATCACTTTAAAGTCTCCAAAACAAAATTTAAGCCAAAAAAAAGACTAGTATTCACACATTTTTAAATTGGATTTCATAATTTGTTTTAGCTATATTCTTCAAGTGTATGAATTTTAAGATTTCCTAAGTGCAATGAGGAAAACAGTGGTATACAAGCACATATCTCAATAGATCAATTCTTTTTTGGGGGGTCTTTTTGAGACAGGGTTTCACTATGCAGTTCAGGCTGGCCTCAAACTTGCAGCAATCCTCCTGCCTCAGCCTCCTGAGTGCTGGGGATTACAGGCATACGCCACCACGCCCAACTAGATCCATTTTAATAACGGTTTTAGTCTTCAAAATATCAAATTGTTCCCTTCCTGGGGAAACCATTAACAACTTAATGAAGTTTTAGAAAGCCACTGTCAAAAGGTATTCTAAGTCTTTTCCATTGCTTACTTCCAGCTGGTCAGTCAGTGATAAGGTTTGATACTCCTTTCATAGACAGAGCCTGGTGCCTCTTCTCCTTGACTAGGAAACATGCCGTTTGGTAACTTGTTTGCACCAAAAAGTTTATGGCAGAAGTTACAATGTGTGTCTATGTCATAAAAGGCACTGTGATTTCCTCCTTGCTCTACCATGGATCATACCCTGTAGAAGTCAGTCACTATGTCACAAGAACTTTCAGGATGCTCCACGGAGAGGTCCACTTGATAAGAAACAGTCTTTCTACCCTCAGCCATGTGAACAAATTCTCAGAAGCTAATTTTCTAGCCCAAGCAAGGCTGCATATGAGTACAGCCTCAAAGCAACTTCACAAGTAATCCTAGGCCACAGCCACATAGCTGAGCTGCTCCCCAAATACTGACCTATAGTGGCTGTCAGATAATATATGTATATATTTTTTGTCTTTTTGAGACAGGGTCTCACTATGCAGTTCAAGCTGGCCTTGAGCTCACTTTGTAGCCCAGGCTGGTCTCGAACTTGCAACAGTCTTCCACTCTGCTCTCCCAGCTTTTTAGATAATACACTTTTATTGTTTGTTTCAGACCACCAAGTTTCACAGTGATTTATTACACAGCAATACACAGATTAAGAACATAAGAAAGTAAGCCAAATTCCCTCATTCCACCTGATAGCTACTTCTGTATAAATGAAGGTCAGGTCTTCCCTACTTAACATTTCCTACAGCTTATAATCCTAATGATTATAAGAAAAGCTCAAATGCAAGATGATACTGAGTATACAGAAAATATACTGGAATCAAACACTTGAAGAAACAGATTTTTTTTTAAATCTGGCACTTAAAAGTAAATATTCTTGCTAAAGGACTGATTTGGTTTAAATCAGTTCGAAGGTTCAACTTAATCTATACAAAGCAAATTGTTGGATATACTCTAAGTTCTTTTCCTTTACAACTTTTAATTTCCTTTACAAATTTGTATGTCCTATTCATATTTAGCTTTAATTTCATTTTCTGATTTGGCATGATTAATTTTATTTATTAAAAGTACATAAAGCAAAACTGGCAGAACATATAGCTTTGGGAGTTTGTGCCTCTTTAAAAACAGAAAAACTTAGCAAAATTGCCTTAATTAACAATGTCCCAACAAAGAGAACACCAAAAGAGACTGAAGGGATAAAAAGGAAGCAAACAAATATTGCAGCTGTAAAGTACAATAACAGAAGTGGAAAATGCACCACAGGGGTTCAGAAGTAAGAATCCCATTTGAACAGGCAAAAGAATCAGTGAACCTGAAGACAGGGTAACTGAATTTATCCAGTCTGAGGAGCAGAAAGAAAACAGGAAGAAAAAAAAAAAAAAGGAAAAAGAAAATGTACATAACCTAAGAGACTCCGAGACACTACCCCAGTGTGGGTATATATGTTTAATAGAACATACCAATATTATTAATGGAAGTCCAACAACAGGAGAAGAGCAGAAAGAATATGATAAAATGAACCAAAACTTCCAAAATCTGATAGATTTCAATCTGTACATTTTCAAGCTGCCCAAGTATCTCCAATCAAGAT